TTTGTGTGTACACACAGCTGTTGCCTGTCATTAAAGAGCACCTGCTGCTCTTTAGCTCAAGATGACAGCAAACCATCCATTTTAGCAATGCGTTTGTATTTGGCAACACAAACATCTGAATATGTTGGCTTCTTCTGTTACATGAAAAATATGTTTGAGCTATAACAATTTGTAGATTAATTGATTTATCAATCTGCGAAAACAAAAATATAACTATTTTGATAATCAATTATTTTTTAGGCCCTTTTCAATCAAAGATTCCAAGACTCGCTAGTGAAAGTTTCTCAAATGTCATGAGTTGCTGCTTTTCTGTTGTTGACTGTTTGAATGTTAGCAGCTTCACTCTTTTACTGTTTACTGTACATCTGACCATTGAGAAGGCAGCAGGTTTCTGTTTTGCTCGGAGGAGTTTAGATCTGTTTCTTCTCAAACATTCCTACAATGGGTTGAAGTAGCAACATATTTTGACTGGAGAACAAAGGAAATGTTTGAAAGTTCATCTTGCCCTCCAGGCCAGTGAGATGCCGAAACTCACCGAACAACTAGCTGCGCCCCTGAGACAAATGCAGGTGAGATAACATTAAAGACACCTAAATGTGTTTCTGAAAGTTTGAATTTGGTGGAAAAGGTCGACACTGATTGTGGTTTTTTGCTTTGTTCAGGAGTGTGCGAAGCGGATAGCAAAGGTGTCTGCAGACGCCAAGCTGGAGGTGGACGAGGAGACCTATCTAAACCAGTTTAAGCCCCACCTGATGGATGTGGTCTACGCCTGGGCTAATGGCGCCACATTCGCTCAGATCTGCAAGATGACAGACGTCTTTGAAGGTGGGTCACTGACATGACAGGAAGTTAAAATGCAGGCGCTGACTGTTCCTTATGAACCTGTGAATGTGCATTTACTCAAGTACTTAAGTTTGAGGTTTCTCACAAAATTATTTCAAATTAATGCTACTTTATACTTCTACTCCACTACATTTCAGGATTTGTACAGAATTTACTTTGTGCTTTCCTGCATAAATTTTCAGATAAAGATTTAACATAAAAACAAAGCACATAAAATGCAACATATTGTTAAAGATGAAACCACGTGTTCCCAACCTTTTTAGCTTGTGACCTCTCTAGAAAAGATATCGGTGTCTAGTTGTGCCCCTTATCACGTTTCAGACATCTGAGTTGTTACCAGTTCCACCATAGAGACATTTCCCCACTAAACTTCTCAGACGGTTTCATTTGATAATTGATCATTGTTCACAGAGGTTAAATTGTTAATAATCTCACAAAAATGCAAGATTTGATTAAAAAAAAAAAACATTGTAAAATGAATTGTTTTCCTCTCTGTTTATCATGTCACGACCCCTCAGACCTGTCTTGTGACACTTTGGACGAGCCCAACTGCCAGTTTGGGAACCAGTAGACTAAAATACAATCAGAACCTGCATATAACATAGATACAACAGCATCAATAGTATTATTAATCTAGTAACAACATCAGTTCTAAGGGTAGCTAGTGTTTCTGCAAAATTAGTACTTTTCTTTATAATACTACATTAAATACTTCAGTTCTTTTACTTGAGTAAAGGATCTGAATACATGACCTTTACAAAACCATTTCACCTTTGATTTCTCTGCTGTCACTCGTGCAGCCCCTCGGAGGCTGTAAGAGGCTCACTAATGGATTTATTATGTGTGGTTTGATTTGAACCCAATTCCAAGACCATCATTCTCCCCATAGTTTTGTATCTCTGACTCCCAACAATGACCTCAGCTGTAAGATATTGGATGTCGTAGCAATAAGTGCGTAAGAAGTAATGCTGAGTTGGGAAACTGTAGGGAGTTTGAGATGTGCTTGGACAGAGACAGAGAACAGTGAAATTTCCAAAATTATTATTTTCTGTGGATTTTCACATCTACTTTCTGTCTCATCTTTCTGTTTAAATTTTGATGGCACTTGGCTACAAACAGGTTGATAATGCTCTGTTTTACAGGTCTGTAAATTACTCATAATTTTCTGGGATGTTTTGTAGGATAGTTTTATTCTGTAACTAATTATCAGAAAAATTTGAATATTTTTGCAAGAAATGTTTCATTTAAACCAAAGTAAACAGTGATTCATCATTGATTCATCATTTGTTACTGGAAACTTTATTCTCCACACATGGCGTACTTTCCTGTTGACTAATCTCACATTGTGTTCAGGTTCAGCTGACGTGCTTTGCACTGACTAAACAACTCTTATGCTGCAATCACAGTTAATTGGACGTGTACCACTTAAATATTGTCTTTATTTTCCCTATTACTAAAACCAAATTATAGTTATTTCCTGGAAAATTGGAAATCAGGGTATGAAGTGATAATTACAGACCTGTAAAACAAAAGAGTTCACGTATCCATTAAGGCGAGTTTGTCAGAGGTTTAATAAATGAGCTGTGGTCATTCTGCAGCCACAGTACCAGCAATACTGACGTTAAATCCAAGGTTGTTAAAATTCGACTCCTCCGAGATTTCCTTATTCTCCCATCAAATATTCAGTGAGAATTAATTCTGGATAAAGTCAGTTGATCTGCTTTATAGTTTTACTTTTAAAAAGATATATCCAAACACACTGAACGGTGTAATCGTGTCTGTCCTGTGTAGGGAGCATCATCCGCTGCATGCGCCGTCTGGAGGAGGTGCTGAGGCAGATGTGCTCTGCAGCCAAGGCCATCGGCAACACTGAGCTGGAAAACAAGTTTGCTGAAGGTAAGAGACCTCAGTGTTATGGAAGCTGAAACAGCTTCCTCTCACATGTGAATATTGATGTTTAAAGTCATCACCTTGAACTCCTTTATACCTAGGATGTTGTAATGCACATTTTCCCTGTTTTCTAACCTTTTTATAATGTAAATGATTCACCTGTTACCAGACACAACCATTCAAGCCCAAAAGTAATGTACCCAAAATAAAAGGTTAATGTTCTTCAACATTTTTGATTACTGTTATAACCCTGGGCTCCATTAAAGGTAACTCTTTATATTTTACAACTGAAATGTCAGAATGAGTATGAGAGATACTGAACCAAGGTTAGAGCGGCACAAACGTGGCAGAGATGTGAGTTTTTTTTTGCCTCTTCTATGGGATTAGCCTGTAGTGGTACTTGTACAGAAACAGTTGGGAGCGATAGCTACAAGTCTGAACCAGTTCTGTATCAACATGGGGATCGTAAAATGCTTTGCACGGATAGAATCAAGAGACTTAGAGCTTTCAACCATGTTTAGTAACATGAAGATATAGTCCACCACAGATCAAAACACGCCTAAAGCAGCGCAGTACAACCCAATCTCAGCCCCTCAAATTGGAAGTTTTAGACAAGATTCACCCAAGTCATTATACACATTCAGTGTCTACTTTATTAGGTACACCCGTACAGTCTAATTCAATCCAACACAGCTGTTCTGCCATAAAGTCTCTTTTTATGATGCTTATAATGTTCAGTTTTTGTTGACACCGTCACAGATGTGTTAATGGAATCATGTTTTAGCAGCGAGGTCATGGTTAATGATGTTGTACTGTGCTTCATTGCATTAAGAGGTGTCTCTGTTGTCACACCCCCACCACACCTAATAAAGTGGCCACTGACTGTACAGTCATCATCTGATACATCTGGTACATTCAGACTGTTAGTACTCGTAATTGCAAAATGTATTGTGGTAAATTGTTCTTCACTGTCACATCTCTCTCTGTTTGGAATGAAATTTCTTATTTACGACAGTTCATCTGTGACTTTGCAGGTATAACGAAGATCAAGAGAGACATTGTTTTTGCTGCCAGTCTCTACCTATAGTGACCTTACAGCTTTCCAACACGCTGGCCGCTGGACGTCAGATGCTATTTTGGACCGTTTGTTCTGATTAACCCACGATGGATCTCTTGGCCCTCCGTTTTCTTTTGGAGTCAAATATTGTGTCACTTCTTCCCAAAATGTTCGTTAAATTAGACTTTCAGTTGGAAAATTCATTTGTCTTTCAGATTCTTCTCTCATCATTTTTCTATCAACTTACCTGAACTTTGTGATGTCCTGTTGACTTGTTATCCACAGTGAGATCGGGTAGCATTTTATAATGAGTGAGCGTACATTTGTGTGAGGATGTAAACAGAAGTGTTTTTCATTTAGGTGAATGCATCTATATGGCCAGAATACATTGAACAGTCACGCTTTTATTGTTTTTTGCTTACATGGGCAAAGTGGTGCACAATGACAAACTAATTTGATATATCTGGCTGAGAAAGTAAACAAGTCATGCTTTAATTTCATGTGATGGCTCATGACATAATACATCCAACACTTATGTTTCATTGGTGTCCATGTTAATAAGTAAAATGTCTTTATTTTTACTTTTATTTCAGACATCTGTACATATTTTTTTCAATAAAAGTCTGTATGGTGATTTGTTTTTACATACAGATTATACAAAAGTACATTGTCTATTGATTTGATGTTTATATTAGTTCTTAGATACACAGGAAGCTGTGATAGCAGCAGCAGCAGTCCAGCAAAGGCAACACGGGACTTTAAACTGACCCGTCGACTCTTCAACTCTCTAACCGAACATGATACAAGTCAAGCTTCCTCCTCGACTATGAGGTTAGATGGTTGGAGAATCAGACGGCAGTGGTAGTGGCCTGGAGTCAGCAGCTCCAGTTGCGAAGTAGTGTTGCCCTCTGGTCTAGGGTCAGTTTTAGCCCTCAGCACGTTCTAGCCTTAAGAAACAAACTTTCCTCTCATAATTAGCCCTTTGTTTAACACTGGACTTAAGGCAACAAGGTTGTGAAACTCGCCGTCTCTCTGGGAGCTGGGGTTGTCCCTAAAACTGACCCTAAATCAGATTTTTCGAGCAGACTGACTCCAGGTCAGGAAAAGCACAAAGCAGGGTTACATTCACAGGTTTCCAACTCCCCCCCCCCCCCCCCCCCCCCCACCCTCTCTCTCACGCAAGTGGTCAGACGCCTTTAAGTGATCTTCCCACCGGCTCAGTAGATAGATGGTTAACGTCCTTACAGAATCTCTAGCCCCTAACCTACATCTGGTTGCATCACTTTAGCATATCTACAAGGGTTGGACAGGTTGTCTCTCCACTTTCCTTCAATGGAGAATCAGTGGACAAGATGGCAAATTGTCTAAAATTATAAAGTCTTAAAATCTTGAACAGGCCTGAGGTGTAGCTTCCAAAAGTTTCTTCTGGGACGCACAGTCATCCACTAGCTAATCAAGTACTCCACAATGTAAATCCATGCAGGGTATCTGATGAGAATTTGCGCAAGATGAAAGGCTAGAGAGCATTTGATCCTGGGTGTGCGTTTGGACAGAGCAGAGGTATCATCCTCCTCCTCCTCCTCCTCCTCCAACTCTCGCTTAGCTTAGTTTGGACTCTCAAAGTGGTTTCCATTTGTTGGGGTCTCCTGCAGGGTTGTGTGTGGGATGTCCGCCTCTTTATGAGCATCAGCACGCGGCTTGAAAAAGTCAGACACGAAGAAGACCTGCAAGATACAGGTAGAGAATTAAAAAAAAAAAAGGCATAGATGGATGTGGGGCTTAAATATTTAAATCTGTGCTCTGCCTAAAGAAGGCCACTCAGGTATAGTAAAGTAATACATTTTGGGAAATGCACTTATGAGCTTTCTTGATAAGAGTTAGAAGAGATTGATAGTGCCCTCGTGTCTGTATGCTAAACAGGGCTATAGCCAGCAGCTTGTTAGCTTAGCTTAAAGACAGGAAATGGGGGAAACAGCTAGCAGCTCACTGATTACCAGAAATGTTGGTTTGTTTAAACTGCACATAAGTCTGCATATAACCGCCTGTTAAACCACAAATAGCTGTTTTCACACTTTAAGCTTCAGAGGTGCTGGTAGATGGATTTTTAGCCAGACTGTCAAACTTTCCCTTTAAATTTAAAACAACATTACAGGTGCAGCACTTACCACCAGGATGGCCATAAGGGCGCCCTGCAGGAGTCCAGTCAGCACGTCACTCCAGTGATGTTTATAGTCAGACACTCTTGACAATCCTGTGAACACTGAGGCAGCAATCAGGAAGAACTGGATTGTGGGTCTCAGCAGCCTTGCCCATTCAACCTGGAGTCGAGCCTGCAGATAGAGCTGAGAAAGACACGGGGTATGTATTGATATGAAGTCATGATAAATAACAGTCACTGGCAATTATTACAAAGGGCAGAGAGCATTATTGTAGGTTTAGTAGTCTTGTAAAATGATCATTGTAGTAGGCAGCATTTGTGCAAGAGTGACAGGGAAGTGAGTGCACTCAGTTCCACTACCACACTAGAGACAATGCTGGAAAATGCAATAAAAAATAAAAATGTCCCTGAATTCAACAAACTTCCTGTGTATATATATATATTTATTTATTTATTTATATAAGTAATCAGCTCTACTATTGACTTCCTTCTCTTTCTTTTAAAGGTGAGAAAATCTCCTGCAGGCCACATTTCAGTTTATCAAAGTGACCTTGAAATCTGTATAAGGTGTACCTATTCTCTGAAACAGGATACGTAATTTAACCTGATAATTAAATATCACACCACCTCTGGAGCAGGATGACTTATCATGGAAAAATCTTTGGTCAGCTGAACATAATCATCATCATTCCATTGTGCCATAAACAAGACTACTTAATTTTGTTTGTATTGAAAACAGGGCGTGTCTTTTCTCTTCTTTTTTTTTTTTGTTTTTGAACCAAGGACAAACAAGCTAAGCCGCTTAATCCCAATGCATGTTCCTCTTCCTGTTACGACTTTTCTGACGTCACTGAATTGGCGGTGGTAGAAAAGAAAGGCACTCCAGGGTATTTACCGGTAGGTAAATGTTTAAATGTCAAGCTGTGTTTCTCATACTTAAACTTCCACTCCATACAGAGGGAGAGAGAGCTTTATGTTGGTGCCAGGACTTTGTCCCTGTGTCTATTTATATCTGCTGGTGCTGAATGAATCAGCAGCCCATAAAGTTTATCAGGGCTTGGCAGTAAAATCTGCTCTGAACAAACACAACACGACTCTCAACGATGCTGCAACTGTCAGAGCGGATCTGATAATAACTGTCACCAAGGTCATCAAATCAAATGTGTGTGACATAATCTTGAAGCGTGGCAGTTCAAAGGAATAGTTTGACATTTTGGGAAATAAGCTTATTCACTATCTTGATGAGATTATCAATACTCTCCTGTCTGTACACTAAATATGAAGCTATAACCAGCAGCCTGTTAGCTTAGCTTAGCATACAGATTGGAAACTAGGGGAAACACAAATCATTACAAAATCCACTTAAATCTCAATAATTAACACATTATATCGTGTTGGTTTAATCCGATAAGATTAATTTTAGACAGAGCCAGGCTAGCTGTTTCCGCGTTTTCAGTCTTTATGCTAAGCTAAGCTAAGATAACCTGCTGCAGTCTGTGGCTTTATATTTAATGGACGGACATGAGAGTGGTATCAATTTTCTCATCTTACTCTTATCAAGAAGGCCAATAGGCATATATCCCTGCAAACTGGACTGATCAATATCACCATCACATTTTGCTCAGTTGCTTGATATGGCAAATTAACATGACAATAAATGGATCATTTATGTGTGGCGTTCCAGTAAAATTAGGACTGATTTAATTGCAGATCAATATGTATCTGGTGCAGGTACTTACAGCCAGGAACAGCATGCAGTACATGGAGAAAGAGGAGTGTCCGGAGTAGAAGGACAGCCTGCAACAGAAAGACAAAAGAACAGCTCAACACTTGGCTACGTGCTTAAATTCTTTAGGAGACACTGACACATCTTGTATTAATATATTGGTCATAATTAGTCAGTCCCACACAAACCCAACAACGCTACATTCTGGCACACCCATTTTTGGGGTTTAATGGTTGAGTCGATGTTCACAGGCAGGTCAGTGTGTTTGCTGCTGTTGTGTGTGTTCTGCGATGTTGCAGGATATGGACGATTGCAAAGTCCTCCCGTCCTCCCTGCCTTAGCTACTTCCCATTTACAACAACAGTGCTGTGTTTTTATTACTGTTGTCTACAGCAACAGGCATGTATGGACACACAGTGTAATGTTACTGTGCACCGGCTTATTCGGTACGCTATTCCACTCTGGCACTTGATGAGGGGTTGGAGGCTGGAATGAAATAAGATGTGTATTTCAGAGTCTGGACAGCAGTGTTGACCAACCACCTGCTGCTTATTCCAAGAAGCAGCTTTTACTGACTTATCCGGATAAATTTGCAGGGAAAATCCCTCAAACTGGACCATGGAGACGCTAAAAAAACAAAACAAAGCTCTTCTGGGGTTTTATAGTAACCCTGTACCAAGTTGCCTGTACCACTGAAGACCCATACACAAGTAAAGTCTCTGCCATTGGTTTTGACTATTTGTCTAACCATGCTAGCACTGAGGCGCTGTTGGTCTGTCAATCAGTTGGTCTGCTAGTCCATCACTTTGATTCAGACCTGGCAGATCTCAACAAATATCAGTAAGATTACCTTGAAATTTGGGCCTGGTCTCTCCAGGATGACTTCACTATTAACTTTCAATCCAATGTAATCAACAGGTCAAAATGTTTCAGCTGAAATAATAATAATAATCATACTTGGATAAAATTGAATGCTAATTTGCAAATGTCAGAATGCCAACATACTAAACTAATACGGTGATCATAATAAACAGTAACCTAAGTGTCAGCTTGCATTGTCACTGTGAGTGTGATAGCATTTAGCTCAAAGTATCCCTGTGCCTAAGAACAACCTCACAGAACTGCTAGCATGGCTGTAGACTTGTTTAAGACTCATTTAACTAATTAATCAACTGATCATTTCAGCACTAACAGTGTTTGTTGGAGAACACGCCCCACGTCCTTACAGTTGGTAAAAAAAAAAACACCTCACCAATTTAATGGTAATGCTCACCTCCATACATCCTCTGTGGTGTCAGGTTAAAACTGCAGCTTGGTCAGACCCACAGAGAGCTTCACTCATTGTTTATTCATGCTTTCTATTAGGATGGAAAAGGTTTGTGTCTTATGGATTACCACCTTACAAGTGATCTAATATTTTTCATGAAGCACAAAACCTTTGAGCACCTATGGCATTTTTCTCTTTTAGATGAAAACAAACAGACAGCTCTGACATCAGGCTTCCTGTCTCCAGTGAAAGTTAAACTAAGCAGAGGAGGAATCATATTACTGTAAGATGATCTAGAGCAGGCCGCCACACAACCTGCTGTCTCCTCTCCTGCTGCATTTATTAGCTCTATTAGTGACATGCAGACCATCCCAAACACACACAGACAGAGAGAGAGAGAGAGGAGCTGGAAATAAACGATTTCCTGACTTTTAAAAGCCTTGGATATTTTCCTCGACACACCAGATCTTTATTTTGGCCTGCTGATAGATGTTTGTCCCTTTATGCTACGTTAAAAAAAAAAAAACACAGACGGCAGAGTGGCAATGGGGCTCCAGGAAGTGTCACCACACCCTGGTAAATGTACAGCAGATAACCCAGAGGAGAGAGGGCTGGGTGTGCACATTTCCTCTCAGCTCAAACTCGACAACATACATAACACTCTGACACTCTAAGTAGAAAAACTTAACCTTTCAGTAGAACAGTAGAATACAGAGTAGAGAACTCCTCGTAGCCCGTAATAAACCCTGCTTCACACCGATACAATCGGCACAGCTGATCTCACTATTCAGGCCTCTGCTTCTATAATTACTGCTGCTCTCCGTGGTCGTTAATACATCAGAACGAGAGGTGGATATCCTCTCCTCCCACTATATTTCCTCCTGCTCTGAGCTGATAAGGAACGGAGATCATAATCAAAACAAGCTTTACATTCCTGCAATATTACTCAATCCCATGGTGTCCAGTTTAGTGTGCTACAAATGCTTCACACTTCATCTTACTAAAAACACTTCCTTGTATCATCTGTATGTACATATTAACTACAAAGTCAATGTCCAACACCTTCAGGGGGTCATGCTGGTGCAATCCCGGCACATCTTTTTTTTTAAACTTATTTCAGTTTGCAATCAATAACAGAGACAGTAAGGCAAGAAATGATTTAAAGAAGACAATTACTCAAATACTACAGTTGAAACAACAGAATAACACAACATAAAGATTTAAAAGCAAAGCTAGCAGCATCTTACCTACAGTAACCTGTAGCAAATCCAGCACTCATGTGGCTGCTACATGTTTTCAATTCCTCATCACAGCTGTTCTATAAATTCACCCCTTTAACTGAAATACCATCAAATACCTTTTTTTTTATTACACTGGTTCTCATAATCTGTTTTGCACATTTCTCTCAAATCAAAAAGATTTTCCCTCTTTAAAAAAAAAAAAAAAAACCCCTTTAACTGAAATACCATCAAATACCTTTTTTTTTATTACACTGGTTCTCATAATCTGTTTTGCACATTTCTCTCAAATCAAAAAGATTTTCCCTCTTTAAAAAAAAAAAAAAAACTTTAGATACTCTCAGGTAATAAGTGATTTTTTTTAACTTTATACATGATTCCAATTTTCAGTCTTTCATTTTATTTAATTTAAAAACAGTGATTTTGTGGGTTCAGGGCAAGTGGTTCTGTTTCTGTAAAGAGAGTGTAATCCTCAGCACTTTAACCAAACAGATTGAAATAAACAGTTGCTAGGTCAAAAGGAGAAAAAAGAAATTGTATAATTATTCATAGTGACACATTTAACCATCGCCCTTTGTACTCACACCATGAGCCTGTTACAATACAATGCATTCATTAATCTATTGAGCAACAAAATAAGAACCTGGAGCGGTACCAGTTTGAATTTAAATTTCAAGGCTGCATACAAAAGGGAAAAGCTACAACAACATTCAGCGGCAAAGTCTATAAAGCACCTATCACCACTTGCTGCTGCACGTTGAGCTCACTGCAAAGAAACAACTGATGCCATGTGTCAACATTTTTATCAGCTCTGACCTTCTCTCACAGAGTGACAGTAGAACAATGTTCAGAGAGACGTCAGAATGAAAATCAACCTGAAACAATGACATGGGGAGAGACAAAAACGGGGGTTTTGACATACAACACCTACCTGCCCTCATTGACCATCGTTGCGTCTCCAGTGCACGTGAAGTCTTCGATATAAACCCCCAATGAACAGTTGATGTGTTTCCAATCAGGCTTGCAAACATCCAGGAAGTGCGGCCTGAGCCGGCCAATGGAATACTTGGCTATGTCGGTCAGAGACTGGCTCATGGCGGCACCAAAGAGGAAGGTACCGATGGCTTTGTAAACACTGGCAACATAGCTGCCGAAAGACGACTTGGATTTGATGCGATTTAGATAAACTAAAAGGCACTCGCCAATGACCATCTGTAAGGTGGGGGGAGGAGATGATACAGAGTTAGAGGTCTGTACAGAAATACAAAATGCCAAATGACAACTGAAAGATGCAACTGAATGAAAACTACAACATCAGAGCCAGCAATACTCCCTAATCCCCTCATCACTCTCGTCATCTAAAATAATGGGGTTGGTTGTAAATTGTTTAGATTATTATGGAACAGCAATATCAGGAGCAGTTTGACTAAATACACTTATTTGTTTTCTTGCCAAGAGTTAGCTGAGAGGATTGTTATTACTTTCATATCTCATATTTGGTAAACGTGGTGGTGGAGTGGTATCAATCTTCTCACCTAATTCTGGGCATAAAAAATCTTATTTCCCAAAACGTCAAAACTATTCCTTTAAATACATTCTAAGACTTCTATAATTTGCCTGCACCCTTCTGAGATAGTAAACACTGTTAAAAATATCACGGCCACAGGAAGATGTCCACTTAAAATACTAAACATGTATAATTTAGTTTGATCTAAAAGTTTAAAGGGAATCACGCCTCTTTTTAGAGCTTGTAGTAAAACATATTGCATATTTGATCTTTTACATACAGTATGTGTTCACGTGATGTGTGGTACATCAGGTGAATGACTCATGAATTCCCTCTGTTGATCATGTTGTGGTTCAGGTGCCTGTGAATGTGTTTGTTATGCAATGCCGTTAATAGATAACAAGCCCAGAGGAGTTAGACTCGTCTAACATACAAGCTGTTGACGGGTCTTTGTTCCTTTATGTGGCTTTATGAGCTTTGAATAAGAGAACTAACAACTTAAGCTCACTAAAGCTTAAAGGCATCTGTTTATCAAAGAGCTTTTTACCTTACTACAGCTGAATGCTTTTTATCTGTTTACGATGGAAGGTGGTTGTCAGCCTTATTTTATTCGTCCATGAAGGCAAAACCTACAGTATGGAAACTTTTTGTAAAACTTTATTAGCCTTTAGTGAATGGATATTTTCACTTTTGTCTCTATTTTAGACTCTGTAAGTGCTATTGTAATTTTTCACACACATTTACAATACGGTCTTTCTGCAAACTGTCGCATCGGCTGCAGATTAACTTGGTGGAGGTGAGTTTCAAAGTAAAGGCCTGTGTCTCAGATCGCCTTTCTGAAAGCAGATTCTACCTTACGTTATTAGGAAATGAAGCTACAGTTAATGGTAGTGATGGTTTATGCAAGCAATAAAAAAAAACATACATTATTACAGAATAATGTATACAGCAGTAACCATGCATTAAGAGAAAAGAGAAGTTAAGAGTGTAAAAGTGGATCGAGATAAGCAGCAAACACAGAAGGTGAGAAAACATGAGAGGTACTATCAATCCATAAGTACCATAAAACCGTTAGCAGAAAACAAAACAGATGCACTTACAGTGAGTATTGTGATGGGAATCATAACACCTCCTAACAACTGATAGGAAATGGTGTCCTCTTTAAGCGGGTACTTGATTGAATCATCATTACAGAAAAAGCCCCGGTGGAAAGGACTGTGTCGCACATTGAGTATTGCAAATGGGAGTCCAGCTAGCAGAGAAGCAATGAGAGAAAATACAAGGGAAAAAAAAAATACAGGTTATAAAAAGATGTCACAGGGGCTCGACACATAATGCAACAGTGTGAGCCTGTGCAAAGCAGGAGACAGGAGCCATGTGAGACGGTCACACCAAATGTTGCATCCTCTGCATCCTCGCCAACTTCCAGGGACATTAGGGTGCAAATATTAATGGTTAAGTGTTGGTCAATGTTGGCACAGATTAAGTTAAAAGTTGACCATTAGCAGATGTTAATAGAGAAAAGTTAAACTTTAGAGCACAAAAAGACATTTCTGAGCAGGTTATTGAGAAGTGAGCCTCAGTATTTTGTCTGTGAGGCTGTGATAGGTGCAGCGGGTCAGGTTTTTAAAATCAGGGATTTTGTTTCTAGATCTGTTGACTGACTCATCAACAGACCCACAGGAAGCTGGAGCTGTCGGCATGTGAGGAAAAGCAGGGGTCTCACATACTGTACGTCCCTTACGTGACTGAAACACAACACATTACCCACATTCTCTTTCACTTCCTCTCGCTGCTTCTTTATTTCCCTTCTTTTTAGCAAAAGAACACGCTTTACCTCTTCCTATAACAGTTTTTCAAGCTCTAACCGCACACATATTCTGCCACACCTTCCTCTGGCAGGCAGCGAGTTGTTCAAAAATTGAAACGACAGTAGCATCTGAGATCAAAAAGGCGTCACAGATTGAGATTATGATTATTCGTGATACATGAAAGACTGAGGAAGAGATAAATCACTGACACACACACACACACACACAAGCGAAAGCAAAACCCACACACCAGCAGCACTTTCTGCCTCTGTCATTCTCTGAAAACAATTGCTCTGGTCCAGAAGAGCATTCCTGCTATTTTAAGGAACAGAAGCGCACAGCACACAGCCTGCATGTCTGTTGCACTAATTGACAACAGTGACAGAAAGTTTTCCTAAGAGATTAACATTGAAATCAATAAGAAGAAGAAGAAGAAAAAGCCTGGCATTACCTCTTATCACCCATATTTAGATTAATAGATTAATTTGTGGTTTGGGTCTTTTATATGAGGTTGAGTCTGTGTGTTTGGCTGGACCAAATGTTTAGTGCTGGACTATTGATTGAAAATAATAAAGATTTCTGGAAACTAAATATGGACCTACACACTGATTAAAATCTCCATAAAATAATATTCTAATTTTTAGCAGACAGTTTTATAAATCCTGCTGTGGCAGGCAAAATGTTGGTAAAAGAAATATATTCTATGTCAGTTTTTTTTTTTATGTGTGTCTGGATGCAACAGGATTTAATATTTACTCCTCTATGGCTGATTTATTTTGGTTTCTCTTGGTTTTAAAGTGGACATCTTCCTTCCCCTTTTGCTTTTTGTATACAACTGTGGGTGAACACCAACAAGGCCACAAACCTCACCCTGAGCAGGAAACAGTAGCAGAACTAAACAAAACCCGCTGTAGATATTTGTTTTGAATAACAGGCAGATGTGCCATTGTACAAATGAAGGGATCTGTTGTATAAAAGAGGAAAATATTCATTTTGAACCCTGAATTAGGTTCAGGAAATCTGTTGGTTCTGAACATGCTGGTCTTGCTGGCTCTGTTGTTTTCTCACATATCAAAACACATGTTTAGCTGACAACAATAATCCTTTCTGTTCTCTATGGAGGTGTGCTGATAAACCATCATACATCATATCAAAGGGCCTGGCACACCTTGCAATGCTTTAATGTTCTTAGTTACACCTATGTTTGACAAGTCCACATATTTTCTATGATACAGGTTGTGCGTCTATGTCATGCCTGTCTTGATTTGATTCCTACTTACGCAGCTAATGGGCAGGGCAAAGCCCACAGTGTAGAGTACTGTGGAGGTGATTGTGCTGCTGTGGAAAGGGTAGTTGATGCTGTCATCGTTACAGAAAAAGCCCCTCTGGTAGGGGCGGATCTTACCCAGGTTAAAGGCTGCCAGAGGCAGACCTCCTGTGGATGGAGGAAGGTCAGAGGTCAAGAGAAGCATTGGTAGGGAAAGTGAGGGTGCCGAAAGAAAAAGGTTGAGGTCTTCAAATCTGCCATTTCTCAGGTGGAAGTGACTCTAGTGAATTACCATCATGATAAAATGGAGAAAGGCATAGATATGGGACAAATTCAATTTGTTTATAGTCTTTATGACAGAAATGAGAGACCCCCACCTTTTCTAGCAGTTGAATTAAAGGATAAGACTGGCTTCATCCTGTGTACATGTTTCCTACTGCCATTAAAGCCAATGAAAAGACCAAAACCAGCAATCAATATGCTATAACACTCAACCACAAGCCCATTGGTTCTTAATATGTAAATCTTTAAATATTGGTCACTAATATTGCTTTTTTTGAGAAAAAAAAAAAAAAAAAGAGAAAAATTTTCTGTGGTTTTTTAGAAAATATTGATAAAATGGGACTAAATTGTGCATTTGTTTAGGACTAGTTTCAGCTGTGGATTTATTCCCAATTGGTGCATTAGTGACCATTTACAGCAGCAGGGCGGTGTTATATAGGAACACATCACCCGGTGCAGCAGTGTGGCTCATTCATGTGTTTTTAACAGTTTTTGGACAACAATGAAGCTCTAACAGGCTTTGGATACACAGACAATCCTTGTTAATAGCATTAATTCCTTGTTTATTTTGGTCTTTTCATAACATTTGTTCATCATAAGAAAAACAGAAAATATTTCTCGCCTTGCTCTTTTAAGTCAGAAAATGTGTATTACTTAGCTCAGTCAGATACTCTGCAACATGATGTATTACACAGTACAAACACTCGGCAGCAATGACTTCATCACTCCAAAAAAATGACGTTATCTTTGGCCAGTTTTTCAGCAGGGGGGATTGTTCAATTTTTTGGATGGAGCCTTGACTCAAACTGCTGTGAAAGGAGCTGTGGACATAGCTTAACTCTCCCTACAGATAAAGATAACAGATTATGCTAATTAGTTTTGACAGTCTAAAGTCTGAGTGTAATGCAGCTGTCATTTCTCTGGCTGTTTGGCCCATTTAGCCCATTGTACAGTGGGGAAAAGACACAGTCGTTCATCCACTCAAGCAGAAAGTGGGGGTCTGTTACTGAGCTGTAATGCACAGTAACACGCAATGTTTACAAATGGCACAATAGGCACAAACACATGGAATTACGTGAAGATACACCTTCACCCACAAACTGCTTATGAACTACTTATTAACCCTTTCTGGTATGTTTGTTCTGCCTGCCGTTTCTGCAGCTGTTGACACTGTCAGCTGTGCCATCCTAAGTTGATTGGCTCCAACAGCTGGAAATGCCAGAGTGTCGGGACAGAAACACATACAGGCTAAACGGCAGGACACCCCCCCCCCCCCCCCGAGTCACTTTCTAAATGCAGTAAATAGCAGTGTTGCACTTTGTTTGATTTGCTCTCATGTCCATAACTCTGCAACTAAAATGCTTCTCAACACAAAGACATGGACAGAAAGAAAGAAAAATGTGGGTATTTTAACATAAATACACATTTGCATTTAACCCTTTAACAAGACTCATTGGCAGCCTGCAGTCTACTCTCTCTGCTCTTTATGCACTTCAAAAAATAAAATTTGTTCGAGCTGTGTTCTTAATGCATGTATGTGCATGTTTGGTAACATGCAGCTATGCATGACTTCGCAGAATAATCAAGTTTGCTTCTGCATCAGCCATCCAAACAGCACACACAGTTTGTCCAGTCATACTGCTTCTCAATGCACATGCGCTGCTGAAAGGAGCTTACTAAATTATGCATTGTAAAATAAAGCAGTAGCCCTGACAGTTCCATATGTCAAAGTCCACCCCTGCACTCAAATGTGTTTTACTTATTGTTACTTAGATGTTTGACCTTCACTGTGCATAAGGATGTAGGTGCTCAATAAGAGATGGCTGCTTTCACATTCATCAGTTCATCTGTTTTCACATTAAAGCTAAGTTTAAAACTAGTTTAGGGGCCAATTATGGTCCGATACTCAACATGCACAAGTGTAATGTCAAACCTTGAAGCCTCCAGCGCACATACACAGAGAATGGGCTTCACAGTGAAGCAGGAAACATCCTAGTAGTTAAAAGTTTTTTTTGTTTTTTTTTTAAATGGGCAATCATAGTATTTCCAATGAGAGAAAATTAGTGAATATAGTTTTGTTTCACTGGATAATTAATCCTTTTGTGTAAAAACCATATCAGACACAAATTATTATATTTCTATATGTCTAAGAACAAATGAACATTAATTTTATCCTGGAAGTAAATGTGTAGACTGTAGACTGTGCAAGGGAAGCCATAGCTGTATAAGTCATGGTGCAAATCAATAATTCATAATCAGATTTAAAAGCCCAAGAGACGGTGTCTGTGCTTACGCAGCAAAAACTGAAAAGAATAGCCCTGTGAGCACTTTCACAATGATTCCTATTATCTAATATAAAGACGTTAGGACTGGCTGAGAGAGATACAAATATCTGAGGCCTGATATGAGTGAACTGTAAGAGCCCGCCATTTAATGGTTTCAGATCATGGTGAACTGTGCCAGAGCAGGCACGTGGTTTTTAAAACACAGACTGAAAGGTAGAGCTGCCATGTGAAACAGTGTATCAGCAACATCCTGAACTGATGTAAGAAATTTCACAAGTTTGATTTACGACAGTAGAAACCAGACAGACGTGAGTAAACTCGATCTTTGAATATGTGAGTGAATGACACAGTAGTCAGTGATCTGCAAAATATAAGACACTGACTTGTGCTGCAACAATAAGTCAATTCATCGATTTGTCTTTCGTTAAGCAAAAATGTCAAACATTTGCTGAGTCTGCGTTCTCAAATGTGAGGATCTGATGTTTTTCCTTGTCACACATGATGGTAAATATATCTGGATTTTGGCCGGTTGATCAGACAAAACAAGACATCTGAAGACATCAACATGGGCTGTGGGAGCTTGGAATGGGATGTACCTCACAGTGTGTCACATTTTATTGACCAAACAACTAATCGATTAATTGAGAAAATAATGGACAGATGAATTGTTAATAAATATAATTGTAAGTTGCAATTTCAAGTCATATGTTTAAATCTATTCCAGTAGAAATACGTTTATATATATAGGCATGTGTTCAGACTTCAACTTTGATTATGTAAATAAATTAAACATTAACCAATGAATCATGACATAATGAAGCCATTAGCCATAATAAAACATTACATAATACAAGTACATATTAACTAATACAATATTGATCAGAATTATTGCAGGGATGTACTGCATCCAATATGTAATTACAAACTGTTGCACTCTACAACACAGCGTCATTATTAACCATTTGATTCCCATGAGCATCTTCAACCATTGAAAAGACTTTGGAGTGCCAGTAATTTGCATACAATGGAAACAAAGAACATGTAATTCTTCCTTGCACTGAGAAAATAAATCTATAGCAACTCTTGAGCCCACTTGAACAGAGACTAAAGACATATTACAAGTGATGTAAACATACTAATAGATTAGTGGTACCATTAGAGGTTAAAATCAATTGAGTTAAACACAGCAAAGTCTCAGTAAATCGCACTGGCCGGCTACTGAGCATTCACCACTCCCTTCACGTGATGGCAAGCTGTTAAATATCCGAACAGGAGGATTATATCAGCTCACAAATCGGCTTATATCAATAATGGCAGGAACAAAACAGCACCCAACAGTCAGCGAAAGACATTTAAACACATACCTAGAACCAGACAGGCTATGTCGAGCAGGACAAAGGGGATTCCTCTGGTCTCGAACATGTTTGCTCTTGTCTGTCTCAGAGTCGAGTCCCTGGCTTGTGGTGCGTCCTCTCCTGTAATAAACACCAGGGGGATGCTCCTCCTCGGTGCGTCGCTGCTGCCGTTTCCGAGTGTGAGATCAGAAAACCGCAACAGCAGATCGTACAAAAACACAACAAAACGTCGACGCCCTCGTTAGAAACAAACAGACCGCCCGGGCTGGTGAAGAGAAGGGCATATCAGGAGGAGAAATGCGTCTTTAAGTGTCGCTGTAATTGGGTGATGAGGAACCGCAGCACAGCCGATAACTCCACAGATCTGCCATGATGGTTTTTAAAGCTGCAACTAGTTTTTAAATGAAGCTGACACTCACTCTCACGGAGAGTCGGTCCTCTGGAGGGACACCACCTGTCGTCTACCGGTGTTTGTAGCCGGTTGCGCACGACTCGTTTGACGGATACGGAGAAGAGCTCCGGAGGCGACCGAAGCGCCAGGCCCGGTGCTGCGTTCATGGACTAGGGGAAACATCGGAAATAAGAAGCTTAGGCTAGTTCGTGACCTCAATGTTTCCCAGGGAGTGATTCGTCGCCTTAATCGTTAAAGATGCTTTCTCTAGCCCATGTAGGTGCAGGGAAAGCAGCGAAACACGCCCTTTTTGTATTTTGATTCATAAATTTGAAACACACGCTTCCCTGGACTACTGTGGGCCACATTTGACAAGTCTTAGCAGTGTGGTTTTTGATCTAAACCTGGTCTGATTTGACATAGTTATGAAAAAAAAACTGTGAAATCACATCTTTTGTGTTTAGATAAATAGAAAAATCGAAACTGTTGTAAACAAAAGTCTAAGTATAGCCTAGTAATTTTTACACCTGGTCTAAATAGGAAACCCCATCTGGTTAAGCTGTGTTTTGTGTAGTGACAAATAGAATAAAGGTGTTACAAATTTGAAAATTTGTGTTTTAAACAGTCTTCAGCTTCTCTGAGGTCACGGGTGGCAGGGGGCTTGCAGAAGAAAAGAAAATTGTTACGTTTGGTTTTCTATCGCACATCACGTAAATGACACAAGGGTATAGGAACTCGTTCACACTGTGTTTGAAGTCACATTAGATCATTCAAATGTAACATTTAAAAGGCCAAGTCTCCAAGACAACCGACTTAAGCATGCTAGCATTTGATTGACTGAAAGGGCGGGGGCTATCTGAAGGTTCACATGATGAGAAAATATCACAGTGGTAACCAATGTCACCACAAAAAGTAAACACCCGAATGTAAACTGACGTTGTCCGGCCATGTTAGCTAGCGTTAACTACCAAGCTAACCTTGGCTCCTGTCTTCTGTAGGCTAGCAGTCAGGTTGCTAGCATGGGTAAGCATTAAATGCTGAAATCATGATTTGATTTCTGTCGAAAAATCCCATAAAAATATCACCATGAATACTGTGGGGGGTTTTTTGTCCCTTACTATACTATGACATTGTTATGCCGTATATTATATTATGACGTTTTTATGCCTTACTATAGGCTACTAAGTTTTCATGTCTTACAATACTGTGACGTGACTGATTGACTGAACTGGCAACAGGTGTGCCTGATTGCAGGTGGAGAGACTCTGGGTCTCAGAGACAATAGACAGCGGGTCTGTGGCAGCCGGGTTTGGGGCACACGTTGCGGCGGTTGGGCACTCTTCGCAGTTGTTTAGAGCTGCCGGCGACGAAGACAGGTCAGATGCCTCCTGTAGATAGTCAGGGCCGGGTTATAGTGACTGCTGTGGACGCCATCGCTCCTCGTCTCGGGCCCCATTAAGCAACGGTGACGCCAGCCAAGCTCCGTCCACACCGTCCAACGAAGCCGTTTCCCCGGGGAGTTGGACAGTGTCTCAAGTTCAGACCCCGGGGGAGAGGGGTCTCACCGACCGGGCGAGTTGAGTAACATATTAACTTGTTGACGTGTTTTAATGTTTTGATAGTGCGGGGTGGGAGCGCAGCGGGGAATTAGTCAGTACCTGTGCAGGATAGGGTTTTTACTTCGAGTGTAGTTTGACAGAGGTGTAGTTAGCAGGGCCTCCAGTAGAGAGTGTCAGCGTGCGTTACGCTTGAAGTGTAGCCTTGTGTTTTACTGTTTGCAGTGGATAAGTTGAACTGTCTTAGTGGAGTCCTTTTGGTGTCTCAGCAGAGTATTTTTATGAACTGTGCATTTGTGTACCTACGGAAATAAAGATGTACTATGATGTTTTTGATATTTTTTGTTACTGTACTTTTTTTTTTTTTTTTTTTTTTTTTTTTTTTTACACCTTACTATAACATGACGGTTTTATGCCTTACTGTACTATGACTTTTTTTTTTTTTTAAACTTTTATTCCTTACTATCACGTTTTTTATGACTTCTTTATTCCTTACTATACTATGACGTTTTTTTGCTTTACGTCAAAAAATGTATTAGTATAGTAAGGCATTTTTTGCTGCTGTTGCTGTACCACATGACCAGTTGTTTCACCTCCTCTCTGTAGTGTGCTTCGTTGTCATTTGTGACGAGACCCACCACTGTCATGTCGTCCGTGAATTTAAGGATTTTTTTCAGATCAGGAAACTCCACAAAACTGCAGATCTGAGATCTACTCTGTTAAACTCTGGACTCTCACTACTCTCTCATGGAAATTTAGTCAATAATAAATTGGGCTAAATCAAAATATAGTGAGACAAATTACGCACAACCTCATTTGTCAGATGATAATATGATAACGTTTGTGTATACACCCTCTCTCTTTCATTTATTGCCTTAGTCAAGCTATTCGAATTTTTGTATGAATGCAAGTATGTTCATATATTTGTATCTGATGGTTTAAGATACCATGGCATTGCAGCTCAGCAGGAAGAATCACACCTGACACTGTAATTAGCTCACTGACCCCATCTAGTGCCCTGGAGGTTAAACTACAACTAATAAAATACTAAAATGATTTTGGAAATTGTGATGAATACTAATAAATGATAGCTCTATATACTAATGTACTAATAAATGATAGAGTATATAGTATATTGATCATGATCAGAGCCTTAAATCTTGGTTGCAAGATTGTTCATTATTATTAATTTCATGTTTTAGTTATTTGCTTAATATTGAACACTTTGGCTCTCCATAATTTTCTTACTCAATGTGTCCCTGGGTGAAAAATAAAGGTAAATGTGAGGTAACTACATTATATTTATGTATTATTAATAATGGGGTAGCCAAGAAACAAAAGTAATACATTTAATCATCTCTAATATCACTAATATTCACCTTATGGTCATTAAAATATAAAGGCCTACAATGCACAAATGTTTTATTCAACTTATTTACATGACATGAAAAGATAACTTGAAACATGAAAGTTATTTGATGTATTATTACAAGGAATGTTTCAATGAATAAAACAAACATAATTCAAAAAGTGCCTATTTTCACATCTTTGGTCAACCAACAAAAATACGGACTGTTTTGATTGCCTCTAAGGACTGAAGAAGTGCTGGAGAAAGATTTATGGGTGACTATATTAAAACCAATATAAAGTAACAATTGAGACAGTTGATAAAGATGGTTTTACATCTCTAAGCCCACATCAGTTTCTCTCTAGTTTCTGTGACTGCTCATTTAATATCACATTTTCTCTTCATTATTGCACTCTGGACTTTATTTATGACACAAGTGTCACATTTGATTGACAAACAAAAATATAAAGATCAAAAAGGCTTATTCTGACTTGTTAAGTCATCGTCAGTCAATAATTTATCCTTTATCTATCCATTATGTGTCCACATATTAATTATGTGACAAAAAAACACACATTTTCTTATCTTTTGAATTAAACATTTAAAAAAATAATCCTATGTTTAGTTATTTTGTGGGCATACATACATATGTCTTAAACTAAGAAGGCTTTTGAGAAAAGAGTCATTTTGCTGACAAATACATAGATAAAGCAATTCATGGCATATTTTTCTTAACACTAATTCACAATTCATTAAAGAGGTGAATGACCCACAAACACACAAAAATACTGCATTTGAAATGAGAGAACAGAAAAAAACGTATAAATGGTGGCATTTACAAAATAATACCAAACATAAATAAAAAAATTACAATTATTAATCAATAATTTATAAAATGTTTTACAAGGCCTTTACAGGCTCTGAAAAAGTCCTTCATTGTTTTTTCACCTACATGTTTAACTTTCAGTCCACTAGGTGGCTCTGTTTCCCTACATATAAAAACCTGTAGGTTGGTTCAATTGTCATTGGCCATCACGAGGAGACAGTGTTCAGGTTTTATCCACACAAGGCACATGGTACAACTCAACATTACACTTTATGTTTTCTTTCTGAAAGGCCTTGCTGCAGTCACAGAGGAATACAGAAATGGACACTATATTACAGATGGATGTATCCAACAGATTGAAAGTCGATTGCAGTTGTTCAGATAAATGCCTCAAGCTGTTCAGTCAGTTTCATTTAACTGTAACTTTATGTTGTCCTTTCCACAGCTACATTAGAGCAACAACATGCTCTGAATCTGTGAAACATTGATTAAAAAGTCTTCACATTTTTCATTAAGGTCATAGACATTTTAGGAAATATGCTTATTTGCTTTCTGTCTGAGATGAAGATTCGTACCTCTCTCACATCTGTATGCAAAATATGAAATTACAGCTTAGCTTGGTTTAATTTAAGTGGTATAATTTACTCAAGTATTGTACTTAAATATAAATTTAAAGCACTTGGACTTTATACTTCTACTTCACAACATTTCAAAGGCAAATACTGTACTTTTTACTCCACTACAAATATTTCACAGCTTTAATTACTAGTTGTTTAACAGATTAAGGTTTTTGCATAGAATGTTATTCTATGCAAGAATAAAATGTTTTTTTAGATTAAACTACAGTACACAGCAATGTACACAAGTAGAGCTGAAATGATTAGTGATTGATCCATAAAGAAAATTAAATTCTGAAGGGAAACTTTTTTCTAGTCTTTTATGAAATAGTTAAATTGGTGCCATCTCAACCACCGTAGGCCACTGTAAAACCCTATCACGTAACATAGCCAGGCTAGCTGTTTCCCCCTGTTTCCAGTCTTTATGCTATGCTAAGCTAATCACCTCTTGGCTCTAGCTCCATATTTTGCATACAGAGATGAGAGTGGTCTCATCTAACCCTCAGCAAGAAAGCAAATAAGCGTAATCTTTAACAATTCCTTTAAAATCAGATCAGTTGAATTAATCTCTTCTTCTTCTCAGTCTTAACTGATTGCAGTCAATGCAAGTGATTATAATTCAACCAACAATGAGCCTTCATGTCTTCTTGGGATTTGAATTTTGCCTTTGTTTCTGTTTGCGAAGGTGAGCCTCGATCTCGTGCCTGAAGAACAGCATCCCCAGCTGGCCGTGCGAGGCCTCATTCATGGCCTTGGACTGCATGCACATGCGGTACTGGTCCGGAGGGAGCTCATCAGCGCAGTGCTTCTCATGCCACAGGTGGAACAAGCCTCGTGACGGTGCTCGCACCACCAGGAGGTTGCTATGAAGGTACTTTCTGTAGAGGTGGACATCTTCACCACCCCAGCCTTTGATGTCAATGTCAAAACCCCCTATAAGAACAGAATATAATGTAAAAACCTTTTATTATATCATCATTCAAACCTCTTGATATGCATACACTTTTCTCAGCAATGTTTGTTTTCATAGCTGTGTTCCCTACCTCTTAAAGGAATGCTGATTATGAATCCTGATTAAAGTGTACAGTATGTGTGATCATAATCAGTTTCCTCTCCACACTGCCTGGTTTGTTGTTGCATTAGGGGCAAGTGAGGAAATTCTGGACTGATGGCATCTACAGCAAAACATTTCTTGACCAGGCATGTTTAAACATGCATCTTTACACATCTAAACAACTCATGTCTGCTTTTGCTCACACTTTGTGTTGCTCTGCATTTTTATTTTCTTTCTGTCTCCTTTTTCCAGGGCTAAACAGAGCAAATATGGGAATTTGGTTGTTCATGGTTAGATGAGAATATTGATACCACCCTGATGTCGTTACAATAAATACAAAGCTAAAGTCAGAAGCTGGTTAGTTTAGTTGAGCATAAAGACTGGAAAAAGGGGGAAACAGCTGGTTCTGTATTTAAAAAAAAAATCCACCTGGCAGCACACTTGCTTGTGTAATCCATATAAAAACAAGAAATTGTCATTTTATGGGAAGTGAAGAAACAGTCCGCACATTACCCCCTATAAAACCTCAACTTCTCGTTTTTGTACAGATTCAGCACACACAACAAGTCCTCCAAATTAATTTTCTATGCTCTCTGGAATTATGCATAGAAGTGTTGTCTGAGCTACTGGGGTTAAGGTTTGGTTAAGTTTAGGCACAAAAACAACTTGATAAGGATTAGGTAAAGATAACGGTTTTGATCAAAGTTACGGTTAGGTAGCCTTCCTCATCATGGTCATAATAATAACCCACTTAAGGTTAATTGTTGTGTTAATTACTGAACTTTAGAGATTGGTTGATTGTTTTTGTTAACTTTGGTCAGAGTTAGGCTAGCTGCTTCCCCCTGTTTCCAGTCTTTATGCTAAGCTAAGATAAGATAAACTAAGCTGTGTGTGCTCACATATAACTCTCAGCTGGAAAGTGAATAAGAGTATTTTCCCAAAATATCAAACCATTCCTTTAAACCAGACTTCTGGCCAGCCTGTGTTACACCTTTGGCACAGTTAGTCTGTGTGTGTTTGTTTGGATCCAAAACAATGAAACACGTTGTATTTCATTGAAGCCTGTAATTGATTCCCCTTTGGAGGGAAACTAAATTGATGTAAATCTGCCATGAGAGCCAATATTCCTCAGCTAATATACAGATGGAGAGGACATGGGGCTGTGAGATATGCTAATGTATGCTGCTACTGCTCCTCAGAGCTGTTTCATGCAGAGTAATGTAATAAAATCCCATCCAAGTTAAGAAATGTAATGTAATATTGAACCATTTGTGTTCTGATCATGTTCTTCATATCCATTAAGCTATGGCACCATTAACGTAGCAGTGCACGTTTTTGTAGCCATTCGGGAGGCCCATTTTTACCCTGTGTTATGCAACTCCTCTGCACAGATAATCAACCCCCTAGGAGCAACTGTTTATAAATTCCTGCATTGCTAAGATGTTGTGATGAATCTGACTGCAGCGCATGTTGTGGTTTAAATGCTGTTGCTCTCTAACATTTACCTATGTTTATGAAGTCGGATCTGTATTGGCAGGTCATGCCGAAACCGAAATCCCTCCAGAACCCTGTGTCTTTCTTGATCACCTACAGGGAAAAGAAATGCAGGTCTTAGACAGTTTGTGAGCAGAGATTTATCATCTCGATACACACGGGAGGTCCTTTAACGGGGATCCTTCTTTGGATTTGTGCACCTAGCAGCTGGAGAGGGGAACTATTTCCCAACCTCCCAGCTATATAGCATCACACTGAGTATGATATTTTCCACAAGTGGCTTGCAGAGAGTTCGAAAAATGGAAAGGGTAGATTTGATTGGTATGTGTTACCAGCTGTTGCTCCACAGGTGGGATATGTTCAGGGCTTCCATAGATCAGAGTGGGGTTGTACTGGCTGAATAACACCGGGTAGAAAACCTTTTTACCTGAGATGTAGAGAGAGAGAGAGTGCTGTCAGACGACTATAGGATATGATTTCAGTGGAAGGTGTCTGTGTGCAGGTGTGTGTCTCACCGGGCTGTGTGTTGAGTCGGCAGCTGTTGAGGAAGTCGGCGGTGAAGTAGATGTCTACATCGCAGAAGAAAAGCAAAACGTTGCCTCCTTTCCAGGCTCGGGCACCGATGTCCAGACCTCTTCCCCGAGAAAACTCCTCGTCCAGCTGCAGCAGAGTGTAGTTCTTAAAATTAACTTCCCTACAGAGAGAGAGAGAGAGAGACAGAGAGAGAGAGAGTAGCAGAAGTCAGTTTTCTTATAGCAAATATTCAGATTTTTGACAAAAATAAACTTGCTGTGCTGACATGCTTTGGAAACAAAACAGCATATCAACAGCTTAACTGTAATTAATTGAAAGGGAGAGAGAGAGATTGATGTGTTGGTTGAAATGAGACCGAGATTCTAATTTCAAATTCCTTGGAACACAAATTAATACAATAACCTCAAGTGGAAAACTAACACTGAACACATCAGCGCAAAAGCTCAACAATGACATCACCTCCTTAGACAGCTTAAAAAATACCAGATCAAGCACCAACTCACAGTATGGTACGGCAGCACGAACAGTCAAACACAGAAAAAACAACAGCGGATTGTTAACAAGGCGTCTATAATCACAGACAAACCACTCCCCTCAGTTGAATCTCTACATACTCACACAACTGCGAAGCGAGCAAAGAAGATCAACCTCTCACATCCTGCTCATCAGCTCTTCCAGCTCCTTCCGTCAGAGAGGCGTTCCAGGTCACTGTCCACTAAGACTAAACGTTTCACCAACAGCTTTTTTCCCTTAACCATCGGGACTGTAAACTCCTGCCCCTAGCCCCCTCCTCACGTTCCACGAACACGCATTACCATGATTGTCTGCTGTAGGCCATTAATGTACTTGTCTCATGTTGTCTTTTTTATGTATTGCAGAGAATGTGCCAAACAGTTCAGATGTACAAAAGCTCTGCAGCCAAAGAGTCGTCATTATTTCGGTATCAGTTTGGAGCTGGATTAACAACCAAGTAAAAGTGGCAACCTGCTCCAAGGTCTCGGATTCACTCTGCGGTAATTATTTAATTTGTCACTTAATTTGTTTTGGAATATGCACCACTAAAGTAATATACTGCTAACTGAAATGATGAGGGCCTTAAGCTAGCTCCAGAATTTTCACTTGATGAAAAGACTTTTGTTTGACCTTGTTTTGTTGAAGTAGCCAGTGGCAAATTCCAGCTTAAATATGTTCATTATTTCAGTTAATTTTGTGCTGACATGATGCATGCTATTCCTAAACAAATTTGTGCTTAATCAAATTACCACAAACTAATACGGCACGCCAAACATGGGGTCAGTTTTTCAGAACAGCAAGTACTGGTTGGTTTCTATGACTCTAAGCAAAAATATAATGAAGCTGCCATGTGCACTGTGCCCAGTGGATATGTAAATGCAACAGAGTGAAGGTCAGTAGGGGCCCACAGTACAATTTTGCCCCGGGCTTCTGTAGTGGCTTAATTTGCCCCTGGTAATCCTCTGTTTTCCGCCTTTAGTATTTTCCACCCAAAGATTAAGACATAATGACCTCACAAATCCTCTCTCTGAAATTCACATCAGCACAAACTTTCGTGGTCTGACTTCATTTCACTCCCCCGACATGTTCATGAGCCAGCTCCTGCTGCTCTCACTCTGATCCTGGTCGTGATATGATCATGGTCCAACTCCAACCAAAAATTAATTGCATGGCATAACAAAGCCTCCTCCATCACTGGCCTCAGGTTTTTCAAGGATGTGGTGAGAGTAAAGAGAAACAGCTGGATCCAGATGTGTACAGCTGTGGCCTTTTCCTAAACCATAACAATTCACACCAATAGTGACTAATCCTTTACTCATGCATGCTCATACAGACACACACACACAGACACGCACACACAGTTGTATCAACTTCAGATAGAAGATACTGAGGAAAAACTGGTTCACACATCTGAATGCGAGGCAGAACAAACAGGATCAAACCTCCTTCATTCATGTGATGCTGTGTGACATAACACATGGGAAACAGTAGACAGAGGGAGTGAGTAGACAGAGGCAGACATACAAAGCTTTGTTGGAGGAAACCAGGATGACCAGAGGAAACATGGTCAGTTTGTTTTTGCCTGAGGCAGCTTGAATCATGCTCCCCACATTTCCATCTCACTGCTGTGTGTTTGTGTCTATGTATCAGCATATTTATTCACGTCTATTACTGTGTAAAAAGCCTTTGTCTTGCTGCCATCCTTTCAGCCTCTCCCATAAATAAGACATAATAAAACCTCTTCAACCTGAGTGGCCCTTAATCCAAGAGAAACAGAAACATGATGCCAGTTATGAGCATCTTGTTTGCCTGTCTGATTAACCTCCAGATGGCCAGCAAAAGCAATGTCTTCACATCCCAAAAATGTCACAAATATTGTGTTCACATTTTTGGAAATAAGCTAAGTATCAAGATATGCTCCCACATCTGTCTGTGTGTGTTTATGTACTGTCAGTCAGTCGTTATGTCAGCAGACAGAGTCCAGTCTCCTCGCGTCTACAGTTTGTGAATCCAAACAGACCAGATCTGTTTCACAATCTACACAGAGTCCCAGGAGAGGTAGACCCACCCACTGGCACTAAACTGTCCACAGATGGCAGAGACAGAGCACAATAGCTCTGATTGTCTCAAACAACGTTAATGCAACACCAGCTACATTCACATGTTGATTCAGTCTCAACTTTAATGGAGCAAGAGGCTCATTTGTCAGAAATGAAGCCAAAACTGCACATTTTCAAGAGAAGTGTCTCTGATTGAATTTAGCAAAACAGAATTTCATGTTGATTTGAAATTAGATTTTAGGTTGATTTGTTCAAGCATATGATCATTTGCTTTATGTCTGTTAGATGTTAGATGAGAAGATTGATGCCACTCTCTGTGTCTGTACTCTAAATATGAAGCTATGGCCAGCGGCTAGTTAGCTTAGCTTAGTTTAGCATAGCATAGAGACTGAAAACAGGGGTAAACAGCTAGCCTTGTTCTTTCCAGAGATAAACCAGCTGTTAGCTGTAGCTTCATATTTAGTGTAAAGACCTCTCTTTAAGAAAGCGAATGAGTGTATTTCCCAGAACATCAAACTGTTCAAACATGCATATTCAGAATTCAATTACACAGACAACTTAAGTTATCCAAAGCACATCTATATAGTCAGTATCTCCTTTTGACATTTACGAATTATATTGTACCTATTTACATTTTAAATGTAGTACATGTTCACGTAGTTATAAATAATTCATTAATCGTTTATTTTGTGATTACTAATATTATTCAGTTGAAAATGTAATTATCTCCATTTGAAGAGAGTCAGAGTTGCTATATTGTTCATTCTGCTAAGTGCATGGTTTGTGTGTTGGCCTGATCTTATTGACTGTTTAAATAATCCTCACAGACAGACAGGCACTACTGTTGTGTGCCAAGTGGAAAAGTCTACTTAAAAACTGCTATATCCTTGTTTTCTAAATGACTTTTTATATCCTGCTCTTTTTCTTCCCCCTCTCCCACAGGCATCAGCACCCCTTCTTATGGCCTAAAATAGTCAATTTGTTTACTGTAGGCGTGATGGCTGGTATCTAGTAGCGGCTAAATTATTGAAATTGTGTCAGAGTGAGAAGCCTGTAAAGAGCTGTCGTGTTGTGTCTCAGCAGAAGGCATGATCCTGTTAGTTCTGCTCAGGACAGGGAGGGGAGACCAGATTCTCTTTTTCTTCCTCTGTGAAACTGTGCCTCTGTATAACCATTTTATGTATTTGCTTGTGTGTGGTTATAGCTAGAGGCCTGACTGCAGACATGGTGCTTACTGAATGTGAAAAGTCTCGACTGTAAGCCCCTATATGCGGCCAAAACCAGGCTTCTTTTCAGTCTCGGCAAATTAAAGATACCAGAGAAGCATGCTTGCTCTTTAGCCATGCTAGTGACACTGCTCTATGGGTGGCAAAGTCAGTCGGTTCACCACTTTGGTCCAGACTGAAATATCTCAACTATTACCATGAAATTTTGTACATTCATGTTCTCTAGAGGATAAATCCTAATGACATCAATGATCCTCCGACCTTTGCTCTAGCACCACCAGCAGGTCAGTGTTTCACAACATCCACTAAATGGATTGGCAGAAGATTTTGTAGTGGTAGTCATGTTCCCCCAGAGGATGAATCCTAAAGACTGTGGTGATCCAGTGACTTTTCCTCTGGTACCGTCTTCTAGTCCAATACTTAGGTTTATGACCCAGTGTCTGCTAAACGAATGACTTTCCAAATTAGCTAATTAGCTAATGATATCATGCTAACACACTTAACAAAAGCGGTGAACATAGTCAACACTGCCAACAGTATCAGCATGTTAGCGGTACCATTGTGAGTACGTTTAATGCTGATGTTAGCGTTTAGCTTAAAGCACTGCTGTGCCTAATTGCATCCTCACAGAGCTGCTTGCAGTCTTGTTGCTTCATATACATTTCAACTAAAGAAGCTTTCCTCGTCACCTCTCCGTGCTCGCTGACATTCTCAGTGGCTTTCTTCTACCTATAAGCCTTTTCTATGCTTCTAAGTCATTTTCTCAGTGTATGTCTGTCACCTTCCTGTTGTTTACAGAGCAGGGAGGCTGGTGTATCCTCTCTGGTCTATTGTGCGAAGAAAAGAAAACCCTCATGCTTTACGGTGAGCTGGAGAATCAGCAGCCTGTGCATGTAATGGAGAGGTAAGTGCAAGCTATAAAAATATAGGCTTGTGATCACTCGGAGGCTGAGCCCTTAGGCATAACAGCTATGCCAGTTGTTAACATAAAGTTAATTTGCAGAATGGGTCCGTACTGGCGATCTGTAAAGACACATGCTCTCTATGATATGAATATTTCGACAGCTCTCTAACTCCTCTCTGAATTGTTTATCGTTTCATCTACTCATAATCTTCTCTCAGTCACCTTCTGCTCAGCATTATCCTCTTGCTTCCTCTGAGCTGTCAGAGGCTCTTCAGAGAGTTGTTGACCCATCTGTGAACTGAATGAAATGCCACAACAGCATCAAAGGCTCGTCGGAGAGGCTGTCGCAAGTTGGTACGAGAGGAAGATGAGAGAAAGGTTGCAGTCGCAGGCAAGACGAGTGATCTCATCTTCCGTTTCTTTGTCTGCCCAAATTTCTGGCCCCTTCTTTCATCTGCACGTCCAGTTTCCTTTTGAGATGGTTGCTGACGCTCTTCTTCCATCCTCAGAAAGTCTGTCTATTTTTCCAACTTTGCTTTGCTCTCCTATCTTATCTTTACACGCCTCCTCATAGCTTCCTTTCTCACAGTTTCTCCCCTCAGTCATCGTCCCTCCTCTGTTACAGCACAGTAATTATTCATAACCTATCAATGAGTATCTCTTTAAAACAGATCACTCATTCTTTTCCCTCCTTTTCAAACTATCCCGCTCCCTCTTTTTTTCAATCTCTATCTCCTCCGCTTTGTCTCACATTGTTGGGAATCTTTATTGGGAATCTTTATTCTTGAATATGTAAACCTCAGAAACGTACATGCCCCCCGATGATTTCAGCCCAAGTTCAGGCTTTGAAGTACGGATATGTAAGCAATATACTTGAAAGTTCGGCAGCTGATCCTATCTATTTTAAACGATATCCCTGGTGTCTGCCAGACTGCTTGAACACTGAGGCTCTGATGCAGCCCTCTAGCTCTTTCTGGAGCAATGCCTTCTACCGCCTGTTTTCTACTTGTTTTGGCTTTTGTTATTGTAGATTGAAACAACAAACTGCAATAAAAACCAACCCTTTTTTTTAACCTTTTTTAAACCCAGTAGAGGTTGATAGGGGTTAGAAAGCTTGGTGTAGATCCAGGACAATTTACGGTAGATCTTTTTAGACTCGTGGGAAATTTGCCTCAAGTAGTTTATATTGGCTGTTGATACTCACGCAAATGCTTTTTTGGAAGAATTTGAGCAGGGACACTGTGCTACTAAAACGCCTGGAGTGTGACTGCATGTGATTTCACAGGGGAAAAAAAAGGACAAATAGCTAGAGGTGATTTGGGAGCAGATTCAGACGAAACCAGTTTCTGGAGGTGAATTTAATTTGTAGGAAGGGCAGTGTAGAATCAGATCAGCCACTAATGATGCCATCACTGCTGGGAACAGATATTGACTTGTTTGTGAGTGAAGATGTGTGTGTGTGTGTGTGTGTGTGTGTGTGTGTGTGTGTGTGTGTGTGTGTGTGTGTGTGTGTGTGTGTGTGTGTGTGTGTGTGTGTGTGTGTGTGTGTGTGTGTGTGTGTGTGTGTGCGTGCGCGCGCGCGCGCGCGCGCGCGCACGCTTTGTGTGAACTAACTATTCAGTTAGAGTTAGCAGCTGGCTTTTAGGGTTAAGCTTTTGAACAACATTTTTGCCTTGGTATCACTGCAGCTGTGTTTTGGTATGTACCGGACTCAATCTTCACACAACCTTGACAAGTCTTGTGATTTTATCTATGCAAAGCATTTTAGGATTCCCATGTCATTGCAACAATGGAATAAAGATTATTTTAGCTTAAAAACTGAATAAAATAAGCATTTGTTGTTGAGGATTTTAGTCAATTAGATGAGCAGATTAGTCGATTAAAAACTATTGTGATAAATGATTAATTATTCAAGTCATCAAGGATAATTACCCAGAACTGGTTTAATACAACTTATCAAATGTAAAGATTTGCTTGTGCTTGATTTATTACCCATGTTAGTCACGTGGCTCAAGAGATGGCAGCGTTGATTGGTTAGTCCAGGACAATGGTCCAAAAAACCACTGGATCGATACTTATGAAATTCTCTATGGACATGGACATTCTTGGTCCCTACAGGATGAATCCCCCTGACTTTGGAGTTCCCCTGACTTCTCTCCTTTAACACCACCATGAGGTTGACATGTTTGTTTTATTGTGACATGTCTCAACAGTTGGCAGATGGCTTGGCTTGCTATGAAATTTGGTACAGATTTCAGATCCATGTTCCCCAGAGGATAAAACCCCATGACTTTGACTCTTTTCCTCTAGCACCACCATGAGGTTCACAATTGTGGTTTTAGATGAGTTGTTTTGAGAATAATTACGATGCAATTTAGTACAAACTGTAATGGCATCCTAAGCATCAACTGTAATAACTTGTTGATCACTTGAATTTTCCTTTAGCACCATCATCAGGCCAAAATTATAATTTGTTCATCAACCCTTAGCTGTACTTACTTCTACTACTTACTGCTAATTAGCTAATATTAGAATGCTAACACACTAAACTAAGATGGTGAACATGGCAAACATTATACCTGCTAAACATCAGCATGCTATCGTTTGTCACTGTGAGCATGTTAGCATGCTGACGTTAACATTTAGCTCAGTACAGCCTCACACAGCCGCTAGCATGGCTGTTGACATTCTGGTATATTTCCATGTATTATCATATATATTAAATACCTCAAAGGTGTTTTTAATGTAAAATGAATGTTTTCACTGTTAATTTGACAAATTTATTTTAAGACATTGCTCTCGGCTCCAGTAACTTGTGAAGTACTACTTTCATTAATCCTGGCAACTTATTGATTAAGCAATTAAGTTATTCATAGATAAATCAATAGATGACTCTTTAAAAGGTAATCATACTTTCACTTTCAGCCTAATTGCACATGCACACATGCCATGCACCTTCCACTGTGAGCATATACTGTATGCAGTTTGCGATTGTATCTGTGCGGATACTGTATATGTAATGTATGTGTGTGTCTGCCTGGGGGTCTCAGATAATGGAACCACAGGTAGTTATCTTCCAATGATGACTCCCATTCATTTCAACCACAGTCGGAAAGCCAGATAAAAGAAAATCGGGGTACAGAGTTGATTACAGGAACTGATTCAGACTCAGATAAGCTGCTACATAACTGATGAATGCATTGTTAGACTGAGAGAACAATATAAAAAGCCTAAAAGGGTTCAAGGCAGAGCTGCAGCTCAGGAAGAGAAATTACAGGTCAGTGTGCTTTATTCAGCACCCGTCTTTCCCTGACTGTACCTTCAACTACTTCTGCTCCAAATTTTTTCAATTCAGTGTGTTTCTCTTACAACCGTCTCACTCCTTGAAGAGTTCGCCCACAGTAAAATCAATATCAATACTACAATATTACCGGTTTGTTGGATGTTTGTGTTCTTCTTGCTACATTCACAGGTTTTGATTTTACCTTCTTTATCCTTCATGTGACGCTTCACTTCAGGAGTATTTAATGCTGCCTCTTTGTTTTTTTCATCTCCACAGTTTCCCCTTAGCGACAGCAACAGGAGGAGACACAGAGAGACAAAGAGACGCTGTGTGATACTGGAGATAGTCCGACTGATTCAAGGCCACACAAAAAACCTTCGGGGCTGGGAAATCGACAAGCATCACCATAGCAACCCCCTCAGGGAATCTGTGGCTCAATCCACAGTGGATCTGACTCCTGATCAGCCACACACAGCGATCGTCTCCAGAGGTGTGGGTGTCGAGGTCCCTGTGAGGGGGCAACATGAATCAGGGACGATCACAGGCCTGTTGTAATTTATCTGTGTTGGCTGGTATAGCTCTCAGCTCCTCAGCATGGGTGGCACACTGCTCCATTATTCATCAGGCAGATGACTGGCTATGGCAGGACGCCGATCCAGGAGGTGTGTGTGTGTGTGTTTTGTGTGTGTGTGTGTGTGTGTGTGTGTCGTGAGAGAGCAGGACAGATTACAAAACACGAAGAAGAGAAGGGGTTTCTGGTGCATGTGTGGAAATAGCTAAAATGTTTTCACAGCACTCTTGACAGCGAGTGCGTGACTGTGTCAGTCTTCATTTCATTACGTAAATTGCATTTCATATTCTGCGTTTGGCCTCTAATTCAAAGATCTGATCTTGGCTGTGGTTCCAACCCACCTGGATGTGTTCTCGAGAGTGCTGCGGACTTCGCTCATCTGCTCTTTCCCAAAATACACCACCGTCAGATGGACCCGGCCGTCCTGACGCACACACACTTCCCTGTGCATATACACAAACACACACAGGAAGGGACATTATGGATGAAAGCATTCTCAAACTAAAGAGAGGTGATTACATTCATGAGGAAAAATGTCAAGCATTTGCTGGATTCAGCTTCTTAATTGTAAAGAGTTTTATATCATCATACATGTTGGATGAAACATACAATTAAAACGATAACGCCCCTGGAGTCTTGGAGATTGTGATGTGTTTTTTTCATTATTTCCTGACATTTATAGACTAAAGGATTACTTAATAAATAAAAAAAAACAAAAAAAACATGCAATCCTGACTCTCCTTATTCTGACACTATGCTAAAGCAGAAAGAGGGAAAGATTGTGTGTGAGTAAAAGAGAGACCAGGTGGGAGATGCCTGCGAGCAGTTTGATGGAAACGTGTCAAATATATCACACACATGCTGAAGATAATTCACCCTCCTCTCCCACAAGACGCACAAACATTTGTCTGAATTTTTCCCCGGAGCACATCAGGGAAAATGTCTCATAAAAGTCAACTAGATGAACACAAGATGCTTAAAAATGACTGAATACATGCAGAGGGTACTGAGAAGTCATGAATATACCAATTCTGACTGTCATTATAGATGCTGTGTAAAAGACTCTATAAAAGACAGTATTATTTGAGGTAAGTAGGACCACAGAATAGGAAAAAAAATCTGTTATAATTATTTTATCATGTATTAAGAGCGAGGTTTTCTTTTAAACTCCACAGAGCCTGTCTGCAAATGTTTGCTGTTTGTGTGAATTCACATTTTATCTCTTTATATTGCGCTGGGGAAACATACCACAGTGAATCAGAAATGCTGTTATTTTTGGGTCTAAATGTGTATAAAGAACATTTAATAAATATGCAGTTTCTTACTGTTATCACCCCCTAAACTAACAGACAAACACACACACACACATCCTTGTTTTACTATATTTGTGGGGACCCATCATCGACATTATACACTTCCAAGCCCCTTACCCTAACCTTAACAATCACAGCTGAATGCCTAATCCATACCTAATTCTAACCCTTAATCACCACGTCTGAACTCTCAAACAGCCATTTAAGCTTGTGGGGTTCAGCATTTTGATCCCCACAGAGCTGTTGGACCCCACAAGTATAGTGGGTTCCAAGTTTTCGGACCCCATGAATATAATAAAACAAGCCCCCCCACTCTCTCTCTCTCTCTCTCTCTCTCTCTCTCTCTCTCTCTCTCACACACACACACACACACACACACACACACACACACACCTTTAATATGGATGAGGATAAAGTGTTTGCTCAGCGACTCGCTGACTCTTTCAAGTAAGTACACTTCTTGCTATGCTTTATATCAACTTCTGCTGGTCTGCCCAGGGGGGCATTTTAATGGGCTTCAACACTGCTACTAAGCAGGATTTACCATGTAAAAAGAGCTGTGATAAGCAGCAGCGGCAGCACAATAAATCACAGACATTAAGGAGGATGTTTCCTTAGCTGATGGTGACGGACTGTGGAGCTGAAACAAGCACATTTTGCTGTTAGCTGATGAGTTTTGAGAGCTTGTCAAAATATGAATGTGATTTCTTTTTTTTAAAATGACAGTAGTTATTCGTTTTAATTTCACCTTGCTGGGATCCGTTGACAAAAAAATCAACCCTTCATAGTTTAGTTTCATCACATAAACATGGAGGTCTGGAGCTGTTTGTGATGCATTGAAATGTATGAAATTACATTTCCTGTGGTCATGTAGTGACTGATATAAACTGAGCTCCGAACTGTACGGCTGTTTTTATTCATATTCCTGTCTGAATCACTTAAATCTCTCTCAGATTGTTTACATTCTGATTATGCATACCAGCACCAAAATAAATTCACTGATGATTTTGAAATGTAAATCACATGTACCTTCAGAAGAGAAAAAATAGCCTCTCTCATGTTAATTTTCTTTCCTCTAATCTCCCCACTTCATGTCCCTGTCTCCCTGATCCCCAATTAAAATGTAAGACTGGAACCAAAACTGGGTTTGAATAACCGAGTATCACATTTTCCCACATTAGTTATGTGTGATACAGAGAACCGCCTTGAATAATTTATTGTGGTGCTTCTGTCTCTGTCACAAACAATGTGACAGAGACCAAAGCGCAGTAAATAAATCAAGAATTCAAGAAAAAGGTTCAATCTTTGAGTCTCACCTGAAGTTCTGCATAAACTGCTTGAACTTGTCTGTGCGCCTGGACAGTGGGACGATGATGTTGATCGGGACGTTGGCTGTGTCCACCCTCTCGTTTTTCACCTTCATCAGCGGTCCAAAGGGACGGAAGAGGACCAGGCGTCTGAATTCATTACTCGACTCCCCTCTGAAGGTCAGCTCGTACAGCGTCCCTTTGTCCTTCTCTGTGCGAGTGATACCTGATGGGTGAGACGCAGAGACACAAACTCATGACCAGTCAAACTTAAAAATACAGTGACAGTAATCCTGCATGTTTTTTTTTGTGATAATCAGCACTGTACTGATGTAAACCAATATTATAAAGTAAATAAACCTGTTTAAAGGAACATTTCGGGAAATGTGCTGGTTCAAGATTGATAGCAATTTCATATCTGTCTGTTAAACATGAAGCTACAGCTAGGAGATGTTTTTTTTTTAGCTTAGCATAAAGACTGCAAGCAGAAATAGCTAGCACTAACACAACTAATGTCCATGTTACACTAGTGGATCTGTGACGCTGTGCTTAGATAGTTAGATACTTTATTTATCCCCTAGGGGAAATTCATGTGACACACTGATATGAAGTAAGTATAATATTTACATGTTTAACATGTATTCTTAGTTTAGCATGTTAACATGCTAACACTAAACCCCAAGTACAGCTGATGCTGGTAGGAATATTGTTAATTTTGAGGGAATTTGTTCATAAACCAACGTTTAAAAAATGGTTAAAAAATCACCAGTCATCCTGAGAGTAGCATGAATATCTACATGAAGTTGTAGTTTTGACTTTTTTTTGTTTTGTAGTTTGCAAGTTGTGTAAAAGTGGCCTCTGCTTCCACTTTTTATGCTAAGCTAAGCTAATTGTCTTCTGGCTCCATCTTAGTGAACACACAGCCATGAGAGTGGTATTGATCTTCTCTTTTAACTCTCAGCAGGAAAGGTTATTTCACAGAATGTAAATGAAACCTGAGGTGGGGCTGATTCAATTCAGTTGCATATAGTGAGTTTAGTCACCTTAGCTTCTTTGCCTGTTGTTCCTCGGTGCTTTTTCTTTGTCACAATGATTTTGTTTTCCTAGTTTTCTCCAGGGTGCAGCTTTTGTTTAAACCCCTTGAGATTTCTGAGTTTCCAAGTTCAAAGGATCATGTTTTCTTTTCCCAGTTAGTTAATATCTAATTTTAAAAAATGCACAAAAAATAAACGTCTTTCAAGGGAACATCATTTTTAGCATCAGTTGCACCATTATTTGAGTATGTGTCATCAATTCTCTGTGACAGCCTGATACTGTGTGTATATGTGGGGAGGAAAGGAAAGGAAAAATAGTGCATATGAGGCCAAATGAGACATTGTCCATGCACACTGCTGCTGCTGCTGCTGCTGCTGCAGGGCAAAGAGCCATAACCATACATACACATATAACACACACACACACTGAAAGAGAGGCTATTACGGTCATCAATACCATTTCTTTTTTGTTGCAGGCCTTGAGTCAGCTTGTTCCTCCAGAGAGAAAGTTGTTTTTCAATTAACTTGCTATTACTAAGATTATTACTTGCAAATTGACCCACTGAGATCAGTGACGGTAGAAAGAAGAGGGAAATGGGAAACAGAAAGTTAGAAGTGTGACCAGAGAGAAAAGAAGCAGACAGGGAGAAAGAGGAAGAAAACACACAATTGGAAGGAAGTATGGTCTGCAAAGAGAGAGTCTAGATGACAGAAAAAGATCAGACAGACACACTCAAAAAGAAGAAAGTCAAAAAAAGAAGCGAGTGAACAGAAAGATGTCTGTGGGCTAAGATTTACAGCTGATAGCAGCTTGAATTAAGGCTTTCCTGTTATAGGTTGGCCAGCTTCCTGTGATGGGAGGCTTCATTTCCCACAGGGACACGATAAGCTTTCATTTAGTAAATATGTTGAACAATTTTGACTAAATGCATTCACTTCCTGTCTCTGTCTTTCTGTCTAAGTGTAGCTCTCTGTCCCTTTCTAAGGACAGAACTCTGTGGTTGGCAAGTTCATTTTGCATACCTCCAGTGTTTGTGTGCAGTTTCAGCTCACTAGGCTTGTGAATGCAGCCCTGACAGCTCCCTGAAGATGCTTTTGTCAGTCTGGACATCTAGATTGCTTTTCTCTTGTCTGCATGGTTGGATAAAAAGCAGCTTTTTCAAGATTTGCTTAAAATCAATTGCTAAATCCATTAAGGAGCATTAAGTACAAAATATGAACAGGAGGGAGTCGCAATTTCATTAAAAGCGAGCTGCACTCTCCTGCTGACTTGCTGTAGAGGCTGTTTATGTGAATATACACAGATGCAGACAAATGTATGCGCATCTATGAAGATTACCGTCACATAAACACACACTTAGATCACACGAAACCACACACAGGCTCATGCACATGTAAGAGGCTCCATATAGTGACCTATGGCTCATTTCCTCTGAGCTAGGTGCCCCTATTACTCACTTTTAAACCTCCACCCACTCACGCACTGAAGATGGTGACCTTCAAAGAGCAGCTCATGCACGAACACACACACACACACTAAAATACCACGTTTGAAGAGATTCTCCACTGTGAATCAGTAGCAGCTGTGTTCATTTCCTGAGGGTGTGATGATCAGAGCTGAGTAAAACAATCTAGGAGGATATCCCGGCTCTACTAGTACACAAGAACACTCACATGTTTCTGACCTTCCAGGGATTCATGTACCAAAAAGATCAAAGTAACTTAAGGTAGAAGAGGACACTGGAGTGTAGTGTTCTGACAAAAAAACAAACTTGTTAATAATAGAAAGGAGTACACATAAAGTTTGAGAGGTTCACATTTCCACTCCCTGTTTCCAGGAAATGACGTTTATATATAGAACTGATTTGTTTTCCCAAATATCCCGTGATGACAAACGTCACATTGAGAGATTGAGGTTGCCGTTAACTCAGTCATCACATTTTCCTGGGATGTGGAGGGCTGTGTTTAGATTTAGGTAACAAAAGCTTGTTAAGATCAAAGATGTGTGTGTATGTCATGTGTCCTCACCTTCTATGAAGTCAGACGGTGCGTAAACTTTGCTGGCCCTTTCCGCCGCACCCCTGCCGTCCTGCTGGGATGAAGGTGTGTTGAGGCTGTGCAGAGCCATCTCCAGCACCTCCCCCAGCTCCTCCCTCTTGTCCTTCCTCACTGGCTTCTCCTCGGGGTGACGCGTCAGCCCCATCTCCAGCTGGTACACCCTCTGAAGGGTGAAACTCTCAAATGGCACCACCGCATACTCACTGGGGAGCCTGATGCCGGCGGTCACCTCGGCCTTTGACAGCTGGCTCTTCAGGAACTCCTGGAGATCAGCCTGCTGGCTCTTGGCTCCCGGTGCCTCCCCGAGACCACCTCCCTGAGCCCCGGCTTCCTGTCCCTCTGCTGTGCCCCCCGCGGCTCTCTTCAGGCTCTCCTGCACTCCTTTCAGCTGCTGGCTGCGCTCCTGCAAAGCCTCCTTCAGCTGAGCGATCTCCCTCTTCAAGGAGGTGATATGGAGGCGGTGCTGCTCCTCACGCTCCTGGAGGAGCACCTGGTACGACTGGACACCTGGTGATCCACCACTTTGAGCAGGCCCAGCACCAGCTCCTCCTGTCCCACCAGCCCCTGCTCCAATCCCCGGCCCTGTGCCCCCCAGGCTGGGGTGATTGGGTCCAGCACGGGGTAAAGCATGACTCAGCGGAGGGTCATCAGAGTGTGGAGGGCTGCAGGTCATCACATAGAGCAGTGAGAGGGAGCAGCAGAGGAGCACCAGCACGCCCCCAACACGGGAGACCCAGGCTAGCAGTCCACGCCGCAACATTGCTGCATGTAGCATCCAAACTCACTCCTCTGAGTTAAACAGCCATCCACACACACACACAGACACAGAAATATCATGTAACCTCACACACTCCAGCCTCTATGATAAGAGCCCATTTGTGATTATGTTCCATCACCCAGTGAGGAGGCGGGCTACTTATCGGTGTGAGGTCATTTAATCTGAATTAGGTCATTGCCTCACCACTGCCTGAGATTGTAACTTGTTTTGTCATTGGCAAAATAAATGTATGACGCTCACAAGCTGTTAAAAAAGCACCTTTTCTCTTTCTGCTGGTGCAATTAGCTCCATGGTCTGCTAGAAGACTGTCCCAGACGCTGTTACATCATCTATCACTCATATGTGACTCATCTGTTCAAATGTTCTCCGACTGTCTCAGTCAGTCCATCGCGTCCTGTTCCTGTCTGCATGCCTGCGTCTTGAGATGACTGAGTATGAAGCTGGCTGATGTACTGAGAGAAAAATGTTATCTTCCATGTGAAGGCAAATGCTCGGTGGTCAGCGGGGGTTTTTCCATGTTGTTTTCCTGACAACAGAGACAGAGAGTTTGTCATTAGAGAGATAGTCATTCTCCCCGTCTTGACTTCCTCTGACTCCATCTCATTACCGTTTGCTGTGTCACTCGTAACAAATCAGAAACATGCCAGACTGCTTTGACATGTTAGTTTAGGATGGCAGAGGGTTTAACTGCCTACGCCAAAACTAAGCATTCCTCTAGGACTACAGCTCCTGGAAAACAATGTTGTCACCGATGTGTGTGAATATGAGGCAGTGTGCAGGGGTGTGTGTGTGTGTGTGTGTGTGCGTGTTTGACAGTGTAGGATCTGTGTGTTTTTGTGAGAGTGTGTGTTCGGTAGATACACAGCAAAGAAACTAGGACATATATCTGTGTATATAACTGGACTATATACCCATTCGGTGAATGTAGTGACATACTGTCAGACAGCTCTCTATCTATGTCCTTGCCAATTTAAAACCATTACACTCATCTTGAAGCATTTTTTAATGTGGCGTTTTAGTGACTCATACAAAGGTAACATTTCCAAATGAAGGTTATTTTAAACCTTGGGTGCAAATCTGTCTCTGTGTGCTCCAGTTTCCTCCCACAATCCAAAGACATGTAGCGTAGATTAATATAAATAACCCATAGGTGTGATTACGAATGGTTGTCTCTCTGTGAGGCCTGCGACAGACTGGCAAACTGTCTCGGTAGAGAGTTGTGAGTTGGGATAGGCGACCTTGTAAAGGATATGTGAGTATTGATAACGGATGGACTGTGTTCCAGATAGGCATTAAAAATGAGGCCATGGTGGCCTAATGATTAAAGATTTATACCACATAACCCTGGTATCCATGGTTTGAACCCATGTGAATAAGTATACAGGGATAACAAACAAACTAAATTCTAAGAAACAGAATAACACTGTATGTTTTTTTCTTTCTATAATATTATTTTTTTCTTAAGAAATACTGGATACTTTCTTCAGGCCTCTAAAAATGTTAAAAAGGATTCTATCTAAAATAGAAAAAAGTCACTCCTTGCTTGAAATGCTCATGGTTCATGACCACACTAAGGCCATAACCTGTGATCAGTGGTCACAAGTTTACATTTTGCTTGTTTACACTGAACCAAACAACGTGGCGTAACGTGTAACACAACAGCGTTGGAGTCTGTCTCTTTTAAACAGATGTTGATCCAGCCCTGTGACTAATTCTGCTGCTGGCTTATTGCTGGAGCAACAATCCCACTCCATTCCCTGCTCTAACCCTTTATACAAAATGTTGAGGAGGAATAAAGGCATTCCTGCCTTGAACAGGCTGTATGAAAGAGGCTATAGTTTAATTTTATGGCATCATTAGCCAAAAAGTGGATAATGATGTTATCGTAATATGATCGTAAAGAAATATAGCCGAAAATATAAGATAAAGACAGTAGACATTGTCTCATATCCAACACCAGCCTAGAAAAACGTGAGCGACGCTGAATGAGTATATTTTCATGTTTTTTCTGGGTAAGTGGTTGAGTGTTTGACTTACAGTACGTATCTGTAAATGTATCTCTGTGTATCAGTCTTGGTCTCTCTTGACTCCCCACACAGTCAGCTCTTTTACAGGGCTGCCAGATGCCAAGCCGACTGAAAGGATTAGTATATGGCAGGAGTGAATACTGGACTGTGCTCCAACAGACGGCTGAATCAGGAGAGACAGGGCGTCTCTCCAGCAGGACCTCCACTGCGGACTCAGAAAATGTTTGAGGGGAGGGTGCTCAGGGAGAAGTGGTCGAGTGAGTGAGTTGGAGTGATGGAGTATCATCTTTTCAATTACAGGAAAATCCCTCATGATGTCATTATATGAAGCCATAAATCCTTAGAAAAATATGGCATGACATTAATGGTGTGGTAGGAGTTTAATCACTTTCTTTCTTTCACAAGCGGCTGTCATTAGTTTTTCATAGCCATGTGATTGGAGGCTGGGAAACTCCTTTAAATAATTACATCACTTCTCCCTGATGACTTCGACTTTCCCGGTTTCATGATTTCCTGTAACACACAGCTATACTTGCACTAATGCCAGTGAAAGTGACCACAAGCCATTCACACAAATGAGAGCATGCACTTAGCTCTGACATTGTGAAGGTCAATTTGCCTTTTCATTGAGGAGCAAATGCACTACTTTACATTTTTAACTACAGTAAGCCTGATGTCGGCAGTTACAGAGGGAGCACTGACACTTATCGGCACACACAAAAATCACCAACAGTAATATTCTGCTGTCAAATTTGAAATGACGAGCAGCTAATGTTTGACTTTAACACACATCTTTCATTCTTTTCTGCTGAGAGATCGCTCTCTAAATATTGAAATTAATACACTGTGTAACACAACATAAAATGAGCATATTATTTTAAAATAACTTGTTTTCATTATCGATTAATCTATTAATTACTTTTCTGACTAAGAGAATCAGCCAGCCTGGCTCTTTTAAAAGCAAAAAAAGAAAAAGAAAAAAGAGCAAATCAACAAAAACTCACTAATTAACAAATTATATCTACGTTGTTTAATGCATACAAAAAAATCACTTCAGGCAGAGTCACGCTCGCTATTTCTCTCTGCTTCCAGTCTTTACGCTAAGATAAACTAACCATCTCCTGGCTGTACCTCCATATTTAGTGTATTGATAGATAAGAGACTGTTATTCCTTTAAACAATTAATTGATTATTACTGGTCATTCTGTTCAACTAATGATTTCAGCACTAGTACAAAACATATTAAAAATATGATATACTGATGTTATACATGATACTGAAACAATAATGATGCATGTCTCTACTAGACAGCGCTGTATTTCTTCTCCTGTGACATTGCTGAGACACACTGCTTTTAGAAGCAACTGCCAAATATATCACAAACACAATAGGAGACGATCCTCGGCGGCAAAGCAGTCAGTCCCTGCTGTAAAGTTATGAGAGAAAGATTCATCACCGGAGAGGAAACTGGTGTGACTGAGATTTATGAGCAGAGACTCACAGTCAAACCACTGAGTCTCATCGGGAATGAATGAGTTGATTCAGCCCTGGTTATTTGACTCCCTGTGGGGAAGGGCATGGCTGCAACACAGGAACACTGGCAGCTAAATAATCATGTTTGATTTTATTGCTGCTGGGATGTCTGAACAGGTGTCTCTAATTTCCTGCTTTGTGTTGCTGTTGTTGTGCCCATGTAAAACTTATCTTTATCTTTATTGAAGGTGTACGTGTTTGTTTAGATATGATATTTATATATCTTTTACACAAACTGTGTAAGGCAATCCTTATTATAAGAGATATAAAGAATCCACAAAGAAGACACCATGGATTTTAAAATCTATCTAATAAATTTTATTAGTGGCCATTAGCCCTATGAAGAAGTCAAAATATAGTTTGTCCTGTACTTTAGTTTATGACCAGATACTACTAACATTCCCACCAACCTCAGCTGTACTTAAGTACTAATTAGCAAATGTTAGCATGCTAACACACTAAACTAAGTTGGTGGACATGTTAAACGTTGGACTCTTAGCCTTGTGAAAGCAGCTATAATTGGACAGAGTGTATCAGGTGACAATATGAAAACAATGTCACAACGTGAAAAGGGTTGCTTGTAGAGATGAACCTTCAGAAAACTATCAACTGAATCTACAGCTCCCCTCAGCTTTACTCAGTCTTACAGCAAGTTTCAACTCATTGTTAAGCTTTCCGAACCGCAACTTTACTGTTCTGATTCACTCTCACCGCTCCCACCGCTTGTTCTCGCACTAGCAGGCATCTGTTTTCTGTGAAAAAGCTCTAATAAACCCTCTGCACACTATCCATGCTCAGCACCAAACAGCAGTCACACAGTCACAGTCAGAGACTGGTGAACAGAGTGGAGCATTTTGCTGCCAAAGAGCCAGATATTTTCCTCAGGAGTTGGTGGAGACCAAAAACAGAGCTAAAAGAGAGTAAATATCCGACTTAAATTCATCAGGTGAACAGAGACCTGACTCCAAATAATTGCTTACGTTGCTCTGTATCTGAAGGATGTGCAAATAAACAGTTTGCAACCAAGTTCACCATATCACCTTAAAAGGTGATGGTATGTCAGTTGTGTTTCCTCTAGACAGCTTTTCACTTGTGTTTCAGTTCATCTCTACAGTATTTTATCTGAATATTGTACTGAATATTGATGAAAGACTTAAGCTTCATCCAAGAATCAAAGAAGTGGAGATTTCCAGTAAACTCAAACTGACACTGAGAGGAAATTACACCATTTGACTGTGACTTTTTGTTTGGCACCTACCACAACACCCTGTGCTGACTTCACCCAATACTGTGCACAATTTTTATGTTGTAATTATTTTCACAGTACATTCCCAATTTCAACAGAAACAAAAGTCACTCTCATGATATTCAACAGTTCCTGTTTTCTCTCAGTGTGGGACTGTGACTTCCCTCTCTAACTCTGTGCCTAGCACCTGATAACAGTTTCCTGCTGTTTGTTTCAACCTTAACTGTTTGTGCTGCTCTGACACAGCCTCTAATCAAAGGTCTCATGGAAATGCATTCGCTGAAGACTCCATTGCATAACACAGCTTATACATCTTCATGCTATAGAAGCACTGTCAAGCTTGTTTACCAACAGAGAAACAAGGCAGAGGATACATTTCCTCCACTTCCTGAGATGACATAACTGATAAATGTGTTTTCCTGCTTATCACATATTTCATTCTCTCGGCTAGAAATAGAAACAGAGATGGGGAGATGAGTGTGGGAGAGGGTCAGAGACAGAGAGATGAAATAAATAATCAGGCTGTCATAAAGAAGAGAAAAAGAGAGAGGAGAAAGAGAATGATTTAGTGTCTGGCGACTGGAGATGTTTCCAAAGCAGAGCTCTGCAGCGTCTGGTTCAGCCTCCGAAATCACTTCCTCCCTTCCTGCTGCAGCTTCCTGCCCACAGGGCATTTCTGTGTGTGTGTGTGTGTGTGTGTGTGTGTGTGTGTGTGTGTGTGTGTGTGTGTGCTTCAGTTTGTGTATATCTATGTGGGAATATGTGTATGTTTGTATCTGTATTAGTACTGAGTACTGAGTGAGGAGTGGGAGCTGTAGGAGTCTGCTGTGGGAAAACAAGAAAGAATGAATTTCTTTCTCAGGCCTACGCCCCATCTCTGGTTGACAGTCACACTAGTACAGCAGAAATCACACACAGGTGACAGGTTATCTTTCTACTACAGCCCACACAGGTCAACCTTTACATGTCCTTTAAATGTCTGAGGCATCGGAGAAAAAAAACCTTGTGACCCTCTCATCATAAAAAATGTCGCATCTCAGCCCTGCTGTTGGATTTGAAGAGCAGATTCTCTTTGCTCTCTGCTGGTGTTTAATAAATTCAACCCCACTCTTAAAGAATAATGTACGCACTGACAACATACTGTATATCGTCTTTTCAAATGCAAAAGATATTTACAGATGCATTAACTGAGTGTGTGTGAAAGAGACTGTGAGTGAGAACTCAGGACAGAGTGAAAACAGACCATCAGAGCAAAAACCACAGAGGAAACATGTCGACTTTAAAGGATCTTATCAGTTATTTTGCAGATTTTATCTCTTAAAGTGCTAATGATGTTCAAATGTATGCTCGAGAGTTTGAGAGTTTTAAAAAAACATTTTGTTCCCTCTGTTCCAGGGAGCCATTCTTTTAAATTTCATTTCTGCATGGTATGAAAATCTATTAGCAGACTAATGAAACTTACTTAGGCTGTGTAATCCATCACAGTGAACATCAAGTCTGCATTAAGTTTTGCCATTGTTTCATAATAATGATTGCAAGGTTAATCAGTTTAATGGAGTACTCCACTGATTTAGTCCTGCATAAAGTTGGGGGACTTGAAAGAGAGAAAATTAAAATAATAATAATAATAATCTGGAAGGAATCTGTGCAGTTGAAGCTGAACCTGGATTTACAGTTGTGTGTCTGTCAAGTGTGTTAGGGTTATATAGTAGCTACAACGCCTACGCACGTAACCTCTGTGACACAAGTGAATGATGCGGCTACAGCAGCTGTTGTGATACCAGCAATAACTGCGACTGGTGGGTATGGTCAAACACTGTTTTTGTGTTTTCTACTACAAGTCTCTGACGTCAGTGGAGATTATTCTACAAATCTCTCCTTCACTGTAGGAGTTAACTCCTGTTAACCCCTCGTGTCAGGTACAAATGTGGCTTAAAATATCCAGACTTATCCAGAGCTCTTAGCTCCAAAAACACTAAATCCTACATTTCACATCAATCGGCCAAAATACTTTATTTCACAGCACACATTTTGATTTGTCACAGCACAGGTGATAATATCGTAAGCACACAAATAATAACATGAACAACAGCCAACCTGCCCCTTCCTGAGTGGGTAAGCTTTTTAAACACACCTGTGATTTTTCCTGTCTAAATGTCTCTTCTGCAAAAGATCTATAGTGACTCTTTGTTAGACCATCTTCACCTGATAACCTCCCAGATATGTGTAACTCCAAACCCCCGCCTCATAACGCAGTCTTTTTGTTTTTCTCACACTTGACAAATCCTCCAGAGCCACGGAAGATATTATACAATCTTGTTCACAGACTTCAGTGGTCTGAATGATGAGCAAACTGATCTTGATGTATAAAATGAAGGGAGTTCCCCTTCTAAGTGTTGACTGATTTGAACAGTTTGCACCACATTACCTCGCCACAATAACGTAACTTTGACAAAAATTAACGCAGACTTGATGTTGAGCAAACAGGGATTACATAACTAACGCCAGTTACGAGAAATTGCTGGTAGAAAACCGACAGACGCCTGGAGCGGCGGGAAAATTTCTAAACCACAATTGTTAGCTGTTGTGTTAAGTATACTGTACTAACGTGAAATTATTGGTTCAGTCCTTTAAAAATGTCAATCCTGCCTTCTCTTTAAACTTCTAATTCCTCAGCCAGTACACATCCATAAAGTACACACATCCACACATGTTTATATGAGAGAGCATGGATGCATTAGTCTTTTAAACAGCACCCCTCCTCCCTAACCCTCTCCTCCCAAACACATCCACTAACTCTGTGTAAGTGGCCTCTGCGATCACTGCAAACAACCTGATAAACCCCTGAACTGTCCGTGTTTAAGCTCCCCTCCATACTGTCAGTCCATGTCTCACCGCAGCCTCTTGCAGGCTGTGTATTTGTTGTAGGTCAAGGACGTTAATGCATTTATGTGCATGTTGGCCTCAGTGAATGTCAGGGCTTCTTCTCAGACAGCTCTGTCTGAACCTGCCCTCCGGCTATCTCACTGTAAAAATGAGGAATGTCCTTTAGGGAGGGAGGTAAACGAGGAGGAGAGGAGAGGGGAGGGGAGGAGAGGAGAGGAGAGGAGAGGAGAGGGAGAGGAGAGGAGAGATTAATTAAGATAAATTTTAAAAATGAGTGGAAAAAAGGAGGCTGGTGGGACTGTCAACTGTGCCCACAGATTACTTGAGGGCAGCTACTAAGCAGCGAGATTAGATATATGGTGTGAGGAGAAAATGAAGAGCAGAGAGAAGTCAGTATAAAGTGAGCGTGTGGGAGGGGAAGAAAGAGCGCGAGGCAGAGAAAGGTTTCTTTGATGTCTCTTGTCCCCTCAGGTGATTCTCCCTCCCATTCATTAGGGGCCCGTTTCCCCGAAACCTTCCTGTCGACGTGCCATCTGGAAGGCCCTTAAAAAAAAAAACAAAAAAAAAAAAAACACTATACTCCTCTACTTCACTACAAGCGCCCCGTGTTAACATTCGCCTGCCTGCCTCCCTCCCACCTACCCTCCTCCTCCACCATCCTCCTCCCCTCTCCCTTTCTCTCTGTTGGTCCTCAAAGTGTCTCATTTCTTCACAGTTAGGTTTGATTGTATCAGATGAAACTTTAATGGTCCCCTGCGGAAAACGGGTCATTTCAGCGGCAGAGAATGTAGATGGACGGACGGATGGACGGACTGATAGATAGATAGATAGATAAATAGATAGATAGATAGACTGATTAGTTGCAGCCCTAGTGTTACCGCACATGTTCATAGACAGAGTACGTCAAGAACAGAGCCTGACCAATCCACCACCATTCACTACATCATAACTGCACTAATCAATATTTTTACATGAGCAGTGGATCAAATGATGATGTGTAATGTGAAAAATACACCTCCCACTGCAGTTTCCTCAGCCCCTCGAGAATAAATAAATACTATTGGCCAATGAAGAGTCCGAGGATTTTTTTCAGTCTCAAATATAGAAATCACGATCAGCCTCAAAATTCCAGTGTTGGTCAAGCCAGAACTTCCAAACATATGTTTGAGGTAATTTAGAAACAGCATCACAATCAGATACTTCACAGAGATCAGGTTTCCCAACTGCACAATGTTGAGATCTGAGTCACAATAACTAAATTTGAGGCATCCTTATCGTGTTGATCAGCTGATATAGGGTTATTGACTTCAAAAATCCAGCATCAGTCAAGCTAAAGAATAAGCAGATGTGTTTAAAGACAGAGCATCTGTCAGCCATCAGAAACAAGTTGCTCTGATTTCAATCCAAAATGGACAGTGGAGACCACAAACGTCGATTTTAATGGTCGGCGGAGTCAAAAACAATCTGTGATCACACAAAAACATAAACCAATGACACAATAACAAGCACCACCCAGTTCCACAGTGTGCCCTGTGCACTATGTCTGTGCCGAGAGGAGAAACTAGTGGGCACTCCCTCATTCGGTAAAACACAATGACAAACCACAATACAATCCTGATAGGACATAGCTCATCTATGCATAATTATGATGCAGTATAATAAATCTTAGTTTGTACAGAAAGACACTCCCTTTGTCGCATGCTTCACAGTCGTTGAGAGTGATTTTACGAGCCAACAGTTATGAATAGCTGATACTAGAGATGGCAAGAGAGCAAACAACTGAGGTTGACACAAAACGACTGAAGCCACTGTGTCCACGAATAACAACTGCTCATCCCACAGCCTGAGCCACTCACCTTCAATTCAAAGCACCGTCACAATTGCACATCCCCACCTCTGCCACTTGTGTGACAGAGCTTCATCGACTTTATCCTACAGAAATGTTTGTTGGGCAAAATGCTGCAAGTGGAGAAAGACGTTAATGAGTGCGAGCCAAGTTCAGCCAGAGCCAGAGCTCATTACTTCCCTCTTCTCACTGGACAGTAAACCACCACACGGCGGTTGCATTGCTAAACTGCAGCCTGTCCTACATGCAAAGGTAAAGGCTTGTGCTTTGGCTTCAGAGCAGTTAAAAAAGGTCTTTGTGATGTTTACAGAAATAACTGCAACTTCAGCCAGCTCCACGCTCTGCTGTTGACAATTTATACTGGTTTTACATGAGTGAAATTGACAGTCATCCCTTGAGGCAATACACCCGTCAGTGCCGTTCATAAGGTCTCCATTTAATCTAATAGATTTTTGTAAAGCGGCATCATCTAGATGAGCAAAGGCAAATGTAATATCATCAGGGGTAATTTGTCAATACGCTGCAGGGACGTTACATCAGCGCCGTTAAAATGTCACTGGGTGAATGTCCTAAAAGATTCTGTTATCTGATCTGTGAAACATGAGAATACATGTACAGCTGCAACAAAAAGCCAGAACACACACACACACACACACACACACACACACACACACACACACACACACACACACACACACACACACACAGACATGCATCAAACACACATCTAGGACACATGCACTCATGTATTAAGCATCCTAAAGGGGCAACGTTATCTTCCAGGCACAGTCAGCACACATATGTCATCATGTATCACATCATTCAGTCACTCATATAGGGTAAAATAATTTAGATATTGAGTATATGAGTATGTGTACACTCCTTTCAAGTCCTTCTCTTCTCTGCTTGCTGAACAACCTCAAATCCCACATAATCTCTACTTTCATTCTTCCAACATGAGGAAAAACAACTGCCAGCTTGCAAACCAAATATTTCAGGGTGCTAGGTGCCTGTTAGTGAATGCAATAAGCAGGATTAGAGCCATTTTCCCCGATAAAATCTCCAGCCCGCTCAGTGTTGTGCTGTGTATACTGTATGCATGTGAGTGAGATGCAGAGGAACACAGTGCAAAAGCCTGCACTTTCACTGAGTGCATATAATTTTATTATCTGGGTCTACCCACTACAAATTACTGTGGGTGGTTTTGGTTTTTTAAATCCATGTTTTACTTTCATCTGACCTAAAACATGACTCACATACTGACAGCCTGGCTGTGCTGTAACAATATTTGATGTTTCATTTACATTAAATATGCCAGAAATGTGTGGACACACAATTAAACAAAGAGAAAAGCAAATCGCACCCACATTTTTGCCAGTGTTTGCTTTCATTTTCAACGTATCTCTACAAAGTGCGTTATGGGAGGAATATAACTTGATTGAATTACAATTTTTAGTTGTTTTTTGAATGACTCCTCACGAAAAGTAGCCGGATATCTCCTATAAATACATCAAACATAAAGTTCTCATTGAGCAGGGAGAGAGCTATCACTGTAAACTCACACCACGGACACTATCCAAATATCATTCATTCTTAAACATTGTGGTTGTATTGGCGGGATACATCTGTAGTGTACACTGTGAACATGCCCTCTCACCCGGCCAACTTACCCTCTGTTCCAGCGGTCATCAGTTCAGTCCATCCTAAGTGGAGGTTTTGTTTTGTCCCGGTGCTGCGGTCCAGGTCCCGTCCTGCAGACCTCCACCGGTCCACAGACGACACTTGCGGGGTGCAGGAGCGGGCGTGAGCGTTTGTACCGCGGAGCACCGTGAAGTCCACCGGAGAGAGGCAGAGTCACACCGGAACTTGAGGGTTTCTGCCTTCAAAATAAAATAATTTATTCCATTAAATTCTGACGAGACAAACACAATTCTTTTAGCAGTTACGTTCATTATCAATAAATCTGACTGATTGTTTGGTCTATAAAATGTCAGAAAATAGTGAAAAAAACTGTCCTGAATAGTGGGGGTCAATAGGAACCCGTCAACAAATTTTTGGCCTGGGGGAGAGAACCCCTGGAGGTTAATCTGGCCATGGCTTTATTGGTGATACTGATGTTGATGACTAATGTCCTGTGACCGTGGTTATCATTCAGCTATTATATTATATTATATTACATATGGTATTTTAATATTGCAGTTGGTGTAAAAGATCTGTATAAGAACGCCTAAGTCTGGCCCCATGCAACCAGATCATATTCATTATGTTCATTTCAGTTCCATTCGAATCTCTATTGCCCCGCAAGAGGAAATTCTTTGTGCAGCAAGGAAGCATAAACACATAAAAGATGAACACAATAACTGAAGAACCTGCTGGCAGTTTACGTGCAATACACAGCACAATAAAACGTTCAAGCTCGCCCTGAACTTGACACAAGAGTGTCTGTGTCACTTTGTTGTTAACATACAACTAGTTTTATTACTTAGAGACAATAAAGAATAATGGGCAATAACCTGAATGTTACCCTGGCGCTACCACTTCTTTGTTTGGGGTTGCACAGACCCCACTGCTGAATGTGCACAAAATCTTTCTTCAATACCATGACAATATTAAAAGCCAATAGATAGAAAAGTATTAAAGAGGTAAACCTTACCTTCGGCACATTCTGGGCTTAATGCATAGGCCACTGACGTCCAGCTACAGTGTTAGATCCTGCACTAAGCACCTGACACTGAGAGGAGACAGACTGTAGGACTCTGCTGGGGGCTGACTCTGCAGATTCTCTGCTTTCCCATCTCTGCAGTTCACTTGCCATGTAAGAATCGCATATGAGCAACCAGGTTAGTAATGTTTCATGCAAACAATGTAATATGGTCCACGCCAGGATAAATCATAATTGGGATACGGATAATACAGTCGTGTGGGCAGTGAGTCAGTTTAACAAGTAAAGCTTATGATGATAAACAATTAGTTTTTGTTGGCATTGTCAGAAATGTGTAAATTCAATTCTATGTGTATTATTGATGTCATAGTAAAAGGTGGTGTTGCACAAACCTTCCCGTTCACAAACATGAAGGAGGGCAGAACATTAGAAACCCAAATAACATCCCCTTAATATGTAATATACCCTTAAATGCACCATATATGGCTAAATGTAATTCTCTTGATTAACTGGGAAAGATAAACATTCAAGCCCATTCATGTGTCAATGACTTAGTATCTTATTTTGAAAAGTTTGAGCAGAATCCTGTTCCTTAACGTTGTGAACTTGACGCTGGCGCTCCCTCCGTGCAGGTCCGCTGGTCCACCCAGCGCTCCGCCTCCCCCCCTCCCTGCTCTCAAATAAAGACAGCCTTGTTAGTTGCTTCAAGACACCGTTGCAGCAGCAGGAAACACTACTGCCTTTCATTTCTGAAGCAAACAAGAAGTCCGACTGACTCCAAATGTGAAGGCGACATACAGATCCGTCTTAATCTAAACTGACCTGAGGGCTGTGCGCTGCGGGCTCTGCGGGGTCTCAATCAGGCAGCAGGCAGGAAGCAAATACAAACAATTAGAGGAGCCGAAGTGAGATTTTATTCAACACATCACATGTAGCCTAAAGTGTGTGACGCCAGAGCACGTTTTCAATCAGACAAGAAAAAGTAGCTGTAACACTGTTGCAAGTAAAAGTCATGCTTTCAAAATTCAACCAAAAATAAAAGAAGCCTTCAAAGGTATTAGCATCAAAATATTCGCCTTTGTAGCCCATGTCTCTGAGCTCACTGAAAAGTCAATTCTCAGTGTTGGTGCACTGAAGGTTTCAGCTGCACCTCGGACCATGACTGGCTTCCAAACTAGTTGTGATGCCCCAAAATAATTTAGTACGCACATGTTAAACTCAGATTTACACACTGACAGATAATGAAGCTATGGGCCCCCCACCCGGACACAGACATGCAACAGGCCCCCACCCCTACATAGAATCAAGCCTGAAAGAGTTCTGGTGGTTGCTTTTCAGCTCTTCCAGCTACAAACCTTTTGTGTAGTCTGCGGTTGTTTGAATGTTGTTTTTGGCCTTTGGGGTCATTTTGTGTCTCTTTATGGTTATTTGATGTCTGTTTAGTTTTCTTCTCCTTGTAGTATTTGTTTGCCTCTTTGACTCATAGAAGCAACTGGCAGCCAAACCAAGAGACTTTCAGGCCGTTCTGTGTCTGTTTCAACTACTAACAGTTTGTGTCTCTGTGCGGTTATTTTTTGTCTCTTTGTCAACATTTTTGTTGTTTTACATCTATTCGTGATCGTTAGATTGACTTTCCAACACGAGATGATAACAGTCACTTACATACTGAGGCTCTGATCCCTCGGGCCTCTGGGCCTGTGCCCCTGTGCCCCGTAGGCCTGTTCAGTAATCCTTCCATGGATTTACAGTAAGGTGAATTAAAAAAAAACAGCTGAATGTGAACAGTCTCCTAGTATCACACTGCACACATATCATTCTGCACAGTGAAACTCCAACATCCAAGTGTACTAACAATAAAAGCCTTTAGTAGAATGGGACTTTTGATTGAGCGTTAAGATGATAAGCCACACAATCACAAATCTCTAGATTAAATTGTAAATGATATTCCCTTATATTGATCACTCTGCTGGTGATATTTGCTGACAATACTCACACTATCAAGTGGAGCATGTGAGTAGTGGGATGAACTGTCCTAAATGTAGGTAAAATAAGAATTAACACCATATTTTCATATGTGACAATATAGTGACCTCAGATGGAAGATTACTAAACTGCAACAGGCACAGCAGAGGGATAATGATACAAACTGGCTCAATGAAGCTCAATTTCTACTGGATGATACACATTCACTTAAAAAGGTGCAGCAGATCTCTGCAGGTTTGTTGTGTCTCTTCCTAAAATGCCACTTGGACTCTTGTGCTTCATTTTCCGTCTCTCTCTTTCACCTTGAGGAGTTGCATCGTTTTATTCAGTGGTATGCCATGAGATGTGAGAAAGCTCTTTCTCTGTGCAGCCCTCTGAGACATACCTGTGATGGAGGACGGCATAAACACACCCGAATCTACCTGAAGAGAACCACCATCCCCGGCTGGATGTATTCCTGAGCGAAGCCTCGGGGCATTACCTGGTGTGACACGTTCTTTGAAGACTTGCAGTATTTAATATCGCAAAGCAGACAGGCATGGAGAGACGGGCCTGTGCAGACTCATCATAATGTCATCACGCATGTTTTTATGTACAAAGTGATGACAGCAGTGTCAGCGTACACAAGGGAAAAAGGCAATTAGGGCCAAAGGATGTGAATGTGCTAGCATGCTGGAAACAAAGCCCTGTGGGCTTTCTGCACCTTAATGAGACAACAGGGAATTATTTTGTTTATATGTTTATGCTTCTTGACACTATGACAGAAATGTTAGATGAAAGAGACAATGAAAAATAAATCTAAATCCAAAACTCACAGAATATATATATTTTTTAATAATAACCAGTCTTAGCAACTCATAAAAAACAAAATATAAAAATATAGCAGCTCAAAGTAGAACTACAAGTCAAACTTTTGGAAATATATAGAAAGGCAAGCTCTCTGGAAAGAAGGTATGTATTTAATATAGGTAAGACAGCTGTATGTTTAATTAGTGCACTAGCTTATAGAGAACATAAGCCAATATACTTTTAAATAAACTGCAAACTACAGTAGCTGGCTTGTATTATTTCAACTAAACACAGTTCCTTTAAAGCAGAGCCTTTTTTTTTTTAACACGTGAACCACAACAGACATGCCTGAGATTTGTCTTAAATGCATAGGATGGTTAGTAAAAAGAAACCCTCATCAAGGCATGACTTGTAAGAAGCTGAACAAAAGTCAGATTTTTCTTTCTCAGATTGTTTAGTTTGAAGGATTTTACCGTGTTACTGCTATTAAAGTGAATGTAGAAGGACTTTACTTTGGTTTTGCTCAGCGCTCTCTGTGGTTCCTTTAGCCCACGTGAAAAGATGGGCTGACCTTTTCCTTGTCGTTGTTTCCTAACCCTTAAAGTTCTGAAATATCTCTGCAGCGTCCAACCAGGACCTGAAGCAGGCCAGGCCTCGGTCTCTGATCTGCTTCCTGCCCTTGTCTGTGATCACATCACCGTTCTCCTTCACGATCACCAGTTTGGGCACCGCTGTGATCTTGTAGCGTTGCTTCAACTCACTGAGAGGCGGAGAAGAGAGACAAGGACACATTATTATAAAAAAAGACACCTGGAATCAACGACTGCTCTGCTGCTTCTACTCTGTGAAAAAAAAAAAGAGTACTAGACCTGACAGTAAAGTACATTTACTCAAGTACAGTACTTGTACACAAATCTGAGGGACTTTAGCATTTCTATTTAACACAACCTTTATACTTCAATTCTACATTTAAGAGAAAAAGATTGTAATTTTTTACTCCACCACATTTATCTGACAGATGGAGAGTTGGTAGTTGCTTTGCTGATTAAGATTTTAAAATGCTACAATGAGCATATACAGTAGTAAAGTAAACCACCCGACAGTATATAAGACAGCTAGATTCTGCTCAGCCTCAGCCTAGAATAACTCAGCCAACAGTGGCCACTTATCCTACATAGTGGACTTTACTTTTATAGTATAAGTAAATTTAACAGTATTGGAATGTTATAAAAATCAATCTTCTGATTATAATATATATATATATATATATATATATAAATACCCATTGATTTCCAAGAGCTAAGGTGACATCTTCAAACTGCAACAGTCCACAACCCAAACATATTTAGTGTACAATCAAAATTGACAAAGAAAAGCAGCAAAATCCCCAAAGTGGAGAAGCTGAAACCAACAAATATTTGGCATTTCTGCTTGAGGGTTATGAAATACTGTATTTTTTTTATTTACTACATTTATCTGATAACTATGGCTCTGAGATTTCATATTTTATATACTGTGATTTATTGTTGATCAATGGTTTCACTTATTTTTCAAGCATAAATGCCAACAGACATCAATTTGTACTCTGGAACACTGTGACTCTGCAATTTTTGAGATTGCTTTTTAAATTGAGTGATTAATCAAGAAAATAAGCAGCAGATTAATTAAATAATGAAAATAATCATTAGTTAGAGCGCTATCTGAGATTATAATACTCACTGACATAACACTGACATGGTTCAATGTTGCCTTCATAATGTGTGCTTTTGATACTTCAAGCACATTTGACACATCAAGTCTATACTTCTACCTGATTGAATGCAGGACTTTTATTGTGGTAATCCTATGTCTACTTAAGAAAATGTAGTACTTTCTTCCACCACTGATGCTTGATCTACATAAGAGGATAAGCATTTGGTACTGTACATACACAGACAGATTTAATTAGGATTAGATTCTCTAATAAACAACATACAAATATTTGTCACATATTTGTCCAAATATTCACAAATAAAAAAACAAACAAAAAGCAAATATTCAATCCAACCTGGGACCTGGACACTCAATAAAAAAAAATGTATATATGTATAGAAAGAATATATAAATTGAAATCAAATAAAGCACAAGATTAACATTGAATAGACCAGTCTTAAAGTCACTTTCAGACTAATGCGGGAGGAAGTTTAAACCTAATCCCTGAGAGGGTGACCCACATAAGCATTTTACATAAGCTGGAGCACAGCCTTATAAGCTGTATAGACAATAGTGTTAAATCCTAATGAGATATAAGACAAATAAAGCACAACTAATTGCAGCTAATTATATTTTTGACATATGTTGAGCTCAAAATCTCTGTGAAGAATATTGAAGAGAAAGTGAGAGAGCAAAGGGAAACTTTCTAAGTTAAATAACCAAAACTCCATTGACTTTTCATCAAATTTTAATACTAACTGTTTGTAGTCATCCGTCCAGGGCAGAGCAAGCCAGTCTCCGTGCATATCATGATAATATTCAACCATATCATCGCTCGACTTGTCAGAAGAGACAAAAACTATTTCAAACTGAGCAGGAGGTTCACTCTCTTCAACCAGCTCCGTGTAGAAATCACACAGGATGGGTGTGAAGTCCCGACAAGGCGGACACCATCCTGCAGAAAAGTAGATCCCCACCACTTTATTCCTCAACGCCTCTTCGGAGTCGACGAAATCCCCGTCTTTATTCAGGAGTGTCCGCCCGGCAAATACCTCTACCATGTCTGCTAACCCCTCAGACAGACTCAGACTTCAAGTTAAAGAATCCGGGAGGTTTGACAGCTCTAACTGTAGTTTTAGCTCATTTCCCCCGTTTAGTTTCAACACCTCGACGCTGTTCTTCAGTAGAAGTGGTAATTCTTTGAATGAAGAAGGTTCCTCTAACTTTTACCTTTCAGTAAAAGCTACTTACAACCAATCCCGATAATCACCTGTGGGCCAATGAGGACACGAGAGGACGGTGTTGTGGTTCGTTAACCACGTGGGTTTCAGGAGGGGAAAGCTGCTGCTTATAATCATACATCCAAGAGCGGAAGCGGCAGCAGCAGCAGCAGCAGCACGACATCTCGCAGCACTTTCGGGCAGCACACACTCACGCATGCGTAGTTTTGTTTTGTGTTTCGTTTTGTGCGTTTTAAAAAAAAAAATCACTCAACAAACATTTCAGGCTTTGTATCTTAAAACATACAAGCAAATTGCCAATTATCTAAGCAGAAGAAACCTTAACATTTATATAAAAAGCAAAAAATAAATAAAATATTGATTGGAATTATAATATATAGAACCACAGCTATAGAAAATCAAAAAAGAAAACAAAAATAAATACTCAGTAAATAAAATTAACAAATTAATTAAAATAGCCTAATAATTATAAGAACAACATTATAGAAAAAAGTAAGAAAAGGAAAAAATAAATGAATGAATTACTAAACAAACAAAAATTAACACAACTACAACATAGGGAAAAAGGAAAACAAACAAATTAATAAATAAAATAAACTTGTGAATTAAAATAATGACATACAAGAACAATATTTAAGAGGAAAAAAATTTATAAACATTATAAATGAAATAAATATATGAATGAAAAACAATTATGGATAAGCAGCACTTACAGAAAAAAGAAAATAAAATCTAACCAATCCAACCAGCGAAGGCAGCAACCATTAGCCAATCAGAGGCAGTGTAGGGCGGGTCATGTCAACTCTATATAGTAGGGTTCGTAAATTTACATCCGGCTGCTGCAGCATCGATAGCTAATCACAGGATAAAGTCGCAATGGAGGAAAGCGTATTGCAGATTTTGTTTTTTTGGCAAACCACCAGCTAAAGAGAGCACAAATGAAGTCCAGCCTTTGCAGGAGAGCAGCTCCACCAGCATCGTTTTCGTTTGGTCGTAATTTTTCCTCGGGGACGAGGATCCTGCTGTTAACAGGTGTCAGGCTAGGATTGACTTGGCGGCATTTGAAAAGCCTCCTCAGCCACCCAACGTCAGTTTTCCGGCCAGACGTTTTGGGAAAGAAACTTTCAGGCGTGTATTCACACGAACTCGGTTTGCTAAATGGAAGTGGCTTCATTACGTGGCGCAGTGTGGTCCGGTTGTGTGTTTTGCCTGCGTGAAGAGGCAACAGAGGGAAACCTGTTGAATCGGCGCCCCTTCACCTTCCCGAGGAGCAGGACCCAGGCCGCCCTGACCTCTAGCCAAAATGCTAGGCGACTTTACCAGAGAGTCTCGTGTCACAGTTCAAGTTGAAGAAACATGTCTATCTAACCTCCATCCACAAACAAACAAACAAACAAACAAACAAACTCACTCTGTTTACAGTAGCTTAAAAACTCATAGTTATGTGGCCTCATCCAAGCGGGCCTTCTCCGCCTTGCGTCGAGTGAAAACATGGCTACGCAACACCATGACCCAGGAGCTTGGATGTATTATAATACCCAAGAGAGACAAATTACCTCCTACTTGATGCATGTCCACACTGACATTTTTAACTCATTGGACATCCATGCGATGATGCTAGACTTTCCACAACATCTGAGCGGAAGGCCACATTTGGATTATTATAACTACTGGAGCACATTGTCTGCAGCTCAAGGTAAATTGTTTGGTTTAAGCTGCCGCCGAGCAGTTTAATTAGTTTGAACATCACACTGATATACCTTTGTTGAAAAAATGTGCGTATTTGAATATGTTCTTGTGTGGCGTGCGCAATGTGCCTTTGGACATGTGTATTGCAATGTTTGGCATTATTGTGAGCTATTTTTGTACCATAGCATTAGAGTCCTTTTTTATAGACCTGGCTGCTGCTGTTGTTACTGCTGCTATTTTTTGGTGTGTGTGTATTATTGTAGGCCTATGTTGTATTTGTATGGGTTGTATTGTATAGGTTGGGGTAAAATACTCCTCCCAATACAGCCGCCCCAAGTTAAAACATCTCGCGGCCCGATGAAGTATAATAAGTAAACAAGAGTTTAATGTGCAATGATAAACAAGTTCTAAGGTAAAATGACCACAAATTTATAGAAAATCAATGTGTCTGAATTATTGTAGGAACAGTTTCATTTCACATTTAGAAAACAACTAAAACAGTTGTGTGTGGAGGTCAGTGCGCTTCCTTGTCTCTACAAGAGAAAGCACTCAGGTCATTTGGAAAGAAACCCGGCCACTCCCTTCTTGTTGAGCTTTTGCTGCCTATTAGTGGAGTCAACGGCTGTGTTGAAAGACTGAAGGGACTTTTTTTTTTTTGTTATCAAGGAATTCTTCTCTCCAAAACAATTTCCAACAACATGACCTCTAATTCCAATTTATCCAACATGCGACGGCTGGTAGAACAACTGAAGCTTGAGGCCAGCGTGGAGCGCATCAAGGTAAAGCAAAAGAAATTAACAGAAGATGATATCTTTAAAGAGCATTACAGTTTGGGGTCTACTAACCTTTTTTTCTTGATTTATTTATTTATTTTTACATTACTAAATATGAGTACTGCCCCACTGTATTAGGTGTAACACATTACAATATGATGTTTTGCTTCTATTTTATAGAAAATATTAATTTTGTATGAGCAAGAGTAAAGCACTTACTAAGCCATTAATAAGAATTACTTTGTCACCAGGTTGTGAAAAGCATTAATGAGTCATTAATAAATTGTAAAATAAGTCACCATGTCTACATTTATAAATTTTGATAAGTAATTAAAGTCTCACAGGTTTCTCACTTTCTAATAACATCTTGTTTGCTGTTGTTAATGTTAACAAGTCATCAATAGAATGCTTTATGTTGTCTCCATTCATAAATACATTTTTAAAAATCATTGATAAAAAAAAATCTTATTGTAATCCATCAAGTTGGCAGCTGTACATGTTAAAAGGCTGATTATATAGGGACTTTGGTCCAAATCTATGAATCCATTAATAAATGCATATAAACCCTTTACAAAGAGTGACTTATTAGAAAGTGATACCACATAAACAAACATCTTTGTTTGTGTACCCAGGTGTCTCAGGCAGCTGCAGAGCTCCAGCAGTACTGTCTGCAGAACGCAGGCAAAGACGCCCTTCTGGTCGGAGTCCCCACAGGCAGCAACCCCTTCAGAGAACCACGCTCCTGTGCTGTAGTGTGAAGGTCAGGGTCCACAAAATTTGTAAGTAAACACCTGTTACCTATGTTGCTGAATTTCAAATGAAGAATAAAAAGTTTTGCACTTTCTGCAGAGGAAGAAGAGGTGGACACATGTGGCATCTTACCCACAGAAGAAAAGAATGTTTTGTTTTTTTAGACATTTTTATATGATTTTAATGTGATGTTTTTGAAAAAAAAACATTCAAAATGAACATTTGTTTTCAAATAAATGTCTTGTTTTATTGTATATCGATTAAAAATTTTTAACACATTAAAAGTCATTATGTACTTCATGTTAGTCTTTATTTTGAATACCTTTTGAAATCTAGTGCTGTATAAGTGTGATCACTACTTTACACAGTTGGCAGTTGCAGAGTCATATAGCGATTATCTATGGCTTATACAAAGCGGATGTTTATAGCCAGGCTCTAAATTACACCCTGGAATCTCATGGCGTCAGAGCTTCCTGATGTTCAGTCTAAGTTAGAAGCTCAGCCAGAGAGAGGAAACTGGCTCTTCCTGTCCAAAACTGCAAAGACACTAAACACAGAGTTACACTTCAATCAGCCTTTGAGCTTTTTAAAGCTTTTTGGACGTATTAATACCCTTACCTTAACATCAAGGCTATGATGGATTAGAAATAGACGATGAAACATCATAGTATCGAAATTGGATTATATGAATCATGTTGCCCCCTTTTTTTTTTTTTTTTTTTTTTTTGTGAGTTGTGCTTAGTCATTTAAATCGGCACGTTTATTTTATTTATTCGTATATACTGTTTAACATGGATCTTGTTCTATAGATATATAAAGATATCGATTCCCCCAGAAAGAAAACATCTAAATCAGCATAACAGAGGTCTAGCCAGTCATGAGATGGCTCTCTACTTTGTCACTTCCTTTTCCTCTCAGTACACTTCTGGACGAGTCTCAATAGTCTTCCCATTTTAATGCTTCCTCACACAACAACCTTTGTTTGACTATAGCTTATACCACACTGAGAGGATGAGATGCTCCTCCTTTTGGCCACTTGAGAATAAAATAATGTTTATGTTGCGATTTAAAATGGAATGGGTACAAAAAATTTTAACATCTGAAATATGAAATGTATCTTAAATAACAATATTATAACAAGCTCTGTTATGTTCTCCCTTATATTTTATATTTCTTTGCCAAATGGGTTGTCTGTTTGTCATATGTAGATTTAAATCACATGAAAGGCATCAGAAAGGCCCAGAGAGGTTTAATTATAAACTTAACTATAACTTTAGCTGTTGTCATTTTAGTTGGCAATACAGAGGTATTGTAAAAATCAAAGCTTAGAAAAGGCTCTCATACAAACTAAGGGTACAATTCTAGGTGTTGGAAGATATGTTGAAAGTATTTATTTAATTCATGATGGGACATGTCAACTTATGCCATCTGCTGGTCATGTTTAGAGACTAAAAATATCAGCATTCAGTTTTTCCAAGGCAGCATAACCAGTGGTGGAAGATGCACTTCATGTTCAGTAAAAGTAACAATACCCCAGAGTGGAAATACTCAATTATGGAATGGAAGTTCAGCTCTGCGTTGAAAATGTTACTTGGGTACAAGTATGTAAGTAGTATCAACAAAATGTAATTAAAGTATCAACAGTTAGAGTATCCAGTTTCAAAAAAAGGCCCATGTGAGTGTTACACTATTAAATATTATGGTATAAGGTCATTATCACTGATGCATTCATGTGTCATCAGCAATGCAGTAACAATGCATCATATGTTTTGTCTGTAGACAACTACAGCGGTCAGATAAAAGTAGTGGAATAAAGGAAAATATTCCCCGCTGCAATGTATTGAAACAAAAGTATAAGGTGTCATGAAATGGAAACACCCAGGTAAAGTACACAGATTAGTTGTAACCACTTGAACTTTCACATTGAACTTTCTTCCAGTTCAATCATACTCTGCAGGAGTCAGTCCAGACCAACAACAAGTCCAGATGTTGCAGCAGTGTTACTCAGTGTCTCCTACATTTATCTACTTTCTGTTGGTGCAGGGACCTGCAAAACTCAGTTCAGTCTGTTCCTCTGTAAGACAATGCAGTGGAAAGTATGTCTTCTTAAATGCTTTGCTGTTAAACAGGTTGCTGTTTGCTGTCAATGACTGCTCCTCCTGTCACTTCATTAAGAAAAGGAAAGTCAGGTATAAAGGTGCAGTTGTTCTTTGACGAGGAAACAACTTGAGCAGCTTGAATGGAGTGGTATTCTCCTTTAAAGGTGTGGGCGGGGAGCAGAGAGCAGAGTTGGGTTTCGGTGCCACCCCCTTTTCTATTCTCATACACACTGTAGTTGCAGTCCAGTCACAGTCCAGGGAGCAACCTTGGGCTGTATGTGTGCTTTGGTTATAGCCTCAAGCTCTCCTGTCTGACTATGAGCTTAACTGCCATCAATGAAGGACCACAATACGACCCGCCACTGGGAAACTTTCACAGCTTGTCCACACTTTTTTCAAAGGTCATTGACCTCTGAGAAATGACTGATCCAGTTTGACTTCTACTCGCCAATGACACTGAACTTTCATGTGCACATGAGCACTTATATGAAGTGAGGAGATGGCCAAGGTGTACAGACTCTATGTGGGAATACTAACAGGTAAGGTTTACTGTTGTTTTATCCTTTTACTTGAATCAGTGTTCACCTTCCCCTATGAACAGAGGGCTGGTTTACAGTATAATAATGTAGATATTATCATAGTAGGGTTAGGGCCTCAAGACAGACACAAAGTGTTTTTTACCTATAATTACATGTGATAAATTTTTACACGTTCCTAGTGACAGTTTACTTTTCTAGGGAAACACAGAAACACATCATTGGATTGGTTTATCCTATATCGTTTTGATAGCTGGCTCACTTTACACCTGATGTGTAATGCAGCCACATCAGGTTTGAAGCGGGTGCTCAACTGCTACAGAAGACTTAAGTGTCGGTTAATGATTGAATGAAGAGTCCACACACCAGCAATATATCTGTTGTGATTACTAATCATTGTCAAAACAGGCTTTGCTAATGTGGAATGAAATATGTCATTTGGGAAATATCCTCATATATATATATATAAAGGTTTATACAATGCTGGTTGTGTAATTAAAGTGCTTTGAGAGTGACCAGAACAGTCAGTATGGTTTGTGTTTAGAGTGGTAGAGGTGTGTGTTGTATTGAAATGGGTTTACTGAGACAGAAGTGGGTGTGAACAGGGGAAATATAAGGCTCAGTGCCATCATGACTCACCAGCACCAATAAATCATATTGTGATCATGTTTTTTTTCCCCATTATCTCTTACATAGCTCCTACATAGTAGGTCACAAATTGATTAAAATGTTCGAGCATTGTGCACATATCTGTTTGTTGTGGTGGTCTGTTTGTGTGTGTGATGGGCTTTTGTGCATTTGTATTTGTGGCTGCAGCTCTGGCCTTATGCAAACACTGCCTGGCACAGGGGAATGCCACTGAGGAGTCTGCCAATCGAACTGTGTCCCACTGTCATCGCCATGGCAACAGAGACAATTGCACAGGTAGATATGGACAGGAGGTGAGGGGCGGTTCCTTCATGGTGTCATAAATGGTTGGCTGCTTTGAGGGTTTAAGGTGGAGGTTTAATAGAAGAATGGGTAAAGCACGGTTGTGGATATAAACATGCAAACACACCTGTGCACAGACACACCTCACAGGAAAGAAAGAAAATGAGAAAAATACAGAGGTAGAGGCAGGTAATTGTGGAGGAGTCATATTCCAGGCTGCCCAGAGACCAGAACTGAGTCCCACCAGCTTATCATAAATCCATCACTAAGTTTGAACAAATCCTTCCGAAGTTCTTAGTAACTACAAGTTAGTTTCAAACCAGTGACTTTTAAATCTGCTTGTTAGCTACCAAAGACTTTAGTAATGTGTGAATTGGTTGCTTGGAAGTATCTGTAGTGCTGTCTGATCAAGAGCAATGAACTATGCAAACAAGTCAAGTCAATGTAGCATCACAAGCTATTACACTGTAAATTCAGAAAGTACTTCAACCCCTTCACTTTTTGCAAATTGTATTAAATTGCAGCCTTATCATCAATCTACACTCAATACCCTATAATTACAAAGTGAAAACAGAATTTTTTATATAAGTATTGAAACCTTTGCTATACACTTGAAATTTAGTTCATTTGCCTCCCATTTCTCTTAAACATCTTAAAGATGTTTCTACATCTTCGTTGTAGTCCACCTGTTGTTAGGGTTTCAATTAATTGGACATGATTTGGAAAGGGACATTCCTGTCCATATAAGGTCTCACAGCTGACAATGTAGATCAGAGCAAAAACCGAGCCATGAGGTCATAGGAACTGCCTGCAGAGCACAGACAGGATTGTGTCAAGGCACAGATCTGAAGAAGGCTAAAGAAACATTTCTGCTGCAGTGAAGGTTCCCAGGAGCACAGTGGCCTCCATAATTCTTACATGGAAGAAATTTGGAACAAACAGGATTCTTCCTAGAGCTGGCTGCCTGTCCAAACTGAGCAATCAGGGGAGAAGGGCCTTGGTGGTGACCAGATACCCAATGGTCAGTCTGGCTGACCAGAGATCCTGTGTGGAGATGGGAGAAGCCAGAAGGATCCATCAGTGGAGTTTTTGAACATCCATCTAAAGCGCTCTCAGATATGAGAAACAAGATTCTCTGCTCTGATGGAACCCAGTTTTAACAGTTTGGCCTCAATTTTAAGTGTCATGTCTGGAAGAAACCAGGCACCACTCATCACCTGCCCAAAAGGATTTAGGTAAAGATGAACACAGCTAAGTACAGAAAGTAATGAAACCTGGTCCCTAAGCACACAGCCACAGACTTTGACTTGAACCCAATCTAACATCCCTGGAAAAACCTGAAAATGGCTGTCCGCCGACAATACCCATCTTCCTGCAGAGAAGAATGGCAGAAAATCCTAAGATCAAGGTGTGCAGAGCCTGTTGCTGCCAAAGGTGCTTCAACTAAGTACAGAGTAAAGTGTTTAAATACTTAGAATGAGATATTTCAGGTTTTCCTAAAAGTTTTATTTTTGTCATTGTGGAACGTTGTTAGAGCTAGGCTAGGTTTGACTCTGCTGGGTATTTGTTGTAACTACTGACAGTTGAATGCCTCATTCGCATCATGCAGGGGGGAAATAATGATGTTTACGACTTATGAGCATTTGTGTCACCAGACAACTCAAAATGGCAGCTTTTTAGTCTTCTTGTGATACTGATACTTATTCATTACTGGAGATTTCAGCTTTCATAATAGATAAACATCAATAAAACTTAACAGAAAGACACAAACATTAGCTTAATTTCCTCAAAGACCACCTAGCAAACTAACTGTTTTCTTAAAAAAAACACTATTAATGGCTAGGTACTACACAGGAGTGCAAATTGAACTGTATAATTGCAGCGTTCAGTTACCTTTAACAGTGTGTGCTGGCTCTTCCATACTTTTTAGTGCCAAGTCGGATATGGGCTTTAAAACCTTCCCAGTCATAATAATGACTCGGTTGTTGAAGTGAAAACTATTTACAACTGGTGCAAACAAATATTTTTCACCATAAAGGAACCTCCTTATCAAATTACTCAACATTTTGATTGATTGATTGATTGATGTACTCATCTAGGTTAACTCATCAATAAAGCATTTTAAACATATGCGTTTCCCAAGCTATCCCTTTAAACTTTGTAACTGGATATTTTTCTTTTCAGCACCGAGGCCACGGCAGCAAGCCGAATATCATGTTTCGACTAACAACTGAAGCGCTCTCATTGATGTCACCTGAACAGCAGTATTGCTTTACGAGCTCGTTTGAAAAGATAATCTCCCGGGAATGGGTTGTAAAGATAGCGGCGGCCTGTGGCATGAGAAGCACTATATGCAACTGGTGGTCAGAAGTTCAGCATTATGGCCCACTAGCAGCTGCGGGGTGTGTTTTAGTGTGTGTTTGTGAGTAGGCTAGGGAAGAAAGGAAAGGGGACACAGACGAGGAGAATGGAAATTTTAATTATATCCCAACTGTATTATGTGTTTCATTTAGTGAAGAATTATATTAATTGAAAAGTGTGATTAATTAGACCTTGATGTCACCAGGCTTTTTCTGGCACTGAATGATCAGGCTTCCTCTCGGGATCGTATTGCGAAGTTTCTATTTATAATATCAGGCCATGCCAGGAGGGGAGGGTGCAAGTTCGAGAAGCACGCTGACAAAACATGACACAGTTAAAGAAATAGATCAACATTTTTGGAAATTTGCTTTTTGTTTATTGCCAAAAGTTAGTTGAGATGTCATTACACTAAATGGAGATTGTGTCAAGAAAAACATCATTCATCACTTGTTTCAGTAAATGCTCAAAAACAACATATGCTTATGTTCAAGTAAGCTGTCTAGCAACTGTAATGCTTACTATGTGACTTTTAACAGGAATTCATGGTCAGGATTTTCCTAACTTACCTGATCACACCTTAACCATAATGGTATCAGATCCAAAAGAGGTTTAATTTTTTAAATGGCAATCAGGTAAGAAAGCATCTGTGGCGTGATTAACTTAGCTTATAAAGATTGAAAACAGGGGAAACAGCTAGCCTCCACCTAACAGCAAAGGTGCAGTTTTACAAGGGCTTATGTTGTGGACTATTTCTTGGCCAGGAGCAGACGTGTTAATTTGTGAGCCTCAGAGGTGCTTGAAGATGTCCAGACTAACTGATTCCCCTGTTAGTCTGGACAGTAACACATTTGACGACACTAATTTTAAATGTCTGTATTTACACTTCAAAAATCATCATGTAATTTGCAATGGGATACCGAAACTTTTGTATCCTTCCATATACTGTGAACCTTAACTGAGGTGACGTAACTGAAGTGCTGCACTCATCTGAAACAAATTTTAAAATGTGCCGGTTAATTTCTCCAGCAGACACAACAGATACGGGACAGTGGAATGGCCACTTCTCAAAATGTCCCGAGGAACTAGTTCACTACTGTGTCCACGGAGAGTGCCGTTACATTAAAGAACAGAAGGCACCATCTTGCAGGTGAGAAACCTCCACTACAAAAAATGGAAATGATGACTGGGAACTGTACAGAGTTAGATATAACTTTGTAAAAAAGGACAGGAAGGAGAAACTTGGCAACAAAGAAGGAGTAAGATGATCTCATTACAGATAGGATGAGAGCGAAACTGTTTCTTGTTTGTTATGTTCCTGCGCTGGGTTTGGAATGGTACAGTACATTCTGACGAATTTAGAGAAGAAAACAGATGTTTGTGAGGAAAACTGTCACAAAATCATGTGAAAATGAAAGCCATTAAAGTTATTTTTTTCCTTCCTTGTCTCAGGTGTCAGGGTGGTTTCGTTGGCCCCAGGTGTGAATATGTGGACTTGGACTGGCGGATCGGCGAGAAACGACAAATCATCATTGCCTGCGTCATTGCAGGGCTTGTTTTCCTCATTCTGCTCATTGTATTCATTTGCATCTGTTCACAGTAAGGCTTTGTGTGTGTGTGTGTGTGTGTGTGTGTGTGTCTGTGTGTGTGTCTGTGTGTGTGTGTGTGTGTGTGTGTTGCTCCTGAGCTAAGAGGAACAGTTTGACATTTTGGGAACTATATTTGTTCATGCTCTTGCCCAGAGTGAGAGAAGATCAAGACCACTCACATGTCTGAACGGTAAGGTAGCTGGAGCCAGACAGTTAGCGTAGCTTAGCATTAAGATTAGACACAGAGAGAAAAAGCTAGCCTAGCTCTGTGCTAAAGTAAATAATAACACATTACATCTGGTTTGTTTAATTCATACAAAATTGAAGTGTGAAAATTACAAACTGTGGTTTTACAGAGGGTCAGAGGTGAATACTACAATACCCATGAGCCTTGGCCACCTTAGCATTGCTATGCAGAATCAGAGGTGTGTTTTGTAGTGAAGTTTATGAACAAAACATGGCGCCATAGCTGCTGAATTAATCCACCACTGAGCCAGAATTCAAAAGTGAATTTGATATAAGCTTCAGGTTTTAAAATCTGTTTTCCCAGCACTGTGATCTTAAGCCTCCTCCCATTGTTAGCGGCGCACCCAAAGCTAGCTGCTTTCCCCTGCCTCTAATCTTTATGCTAAGCTAAGCTATCTGGCTGCTGGCTGTAGCTTCATATTTACCGCACAGACGTAAAGTTATCTAACTTTCTACAAGACAATGAACAAACGTTTTTTCCAAACTGTGGAACTATTTCCCTTTAAAATGGATGCTGCGTGATTATTGAACAACTGTGGTTTAGCTATTTCTGCGGTATATAAATGAGAGGTATGTGGGACCTCTATGTGATGATTTTGCTTCTCTGTCAGTCGTAGGTGCAGATTGTGTGGGCGGAGGGGAAGAAGGAGGGAAGAACCAAGGAACGGGACAGAGAAGCTCAGCATGATGGATACCAGAGCAACACACACAACGTTAACGCCAGACTCAACAGAGCCACCTCACACAAATACAGTATGAGGAGTGTGTATAAGTACGTGTGCGTCCACAAGTCTGGGGATTGTTTAGATATGAGGGATTTTGCCCGTCATGTGACAGCGGCTGCCTTTTGTCTCACAGTGACGGCAGTGTGCTACAGGAGGTGCCTCTGTGCTGGACAGGACTGAGGCGTGCTCTAAGGGGGGCACTTGTGGATAAACTGTGTCTCTGGCTGCGTTAGATCAAGCAGGAGCACAGTTTGTACCGCTTCTCTTAAAGGGCAGCCTTGTCGAAAAGTGCAGAGCAAAGACGATGCCTTCCAGGATTTATAATAAACACAAATTGGAGAAGAGTGTTGGGCTGGCAAGGATGCATTTTTTTCCAATACTGGAGAGCAACAGGCACATGTAGCCTTTCACTGAGTGCTGCTGACTGCACAGCACCAAATGAATTGTTGCTATGTTGGAAAAAAGCTGTGACACCAGCTGGTAGCCAGTGATAAGAGATGATCATGTTTTTGGTCTGCTTTGGAGACACTTAGATGCTAAAAATGAGAGGAAAGGGACTGTGTGAAGATACTCCATGTTCTCTTTAGGGAACTCTTGTCTCGTAAATAAATCATTGAATGTATAGAAATAGCAAAAAAAAAAGTACCAGCAGTACAGTATACTGTAGTCTTGTGTCATATAATTTCTACTTTGTTTACTGCTACTTTTGCTTCAGTGTTTTGTCACAAATACACAGTATTGATATTTCAAAATCTTAATCACAAAATCAAGAGTCATGATCACCTATTCCTCTGTGCACAGCAACGTCTCCATGTAAGCTCACACAGAATATTGTTACTTGTAAACATTAGCAATGCAAGAAGAGCCAAGAAGAGTCTCCTATATTATTAAAGGTTGCAGTTCTGGACTCTTGGGTTGGTTGAGGACAAGGAGAACTTGTGCTGGAGGCTTTTTTGATCTGTATATTTGGAGCCGGTCAGCCTCCGAGCTACAGAGGCAGAACAGCCGAGCCTGTGTGTGGAGGCTCGACTGAGGTGAAAGTGCTCCACTGTATGAGACACTTTCCAAACTGCCAGCCTTTCACTGGTAAAGTGTATCTGTATGTCTGTATCTAAATGTAGAATTAGCAGAGTTAGGAGAAAGTCAGTGAAGTCTGCTCCTGCTGTTTATATGAATAAATATGTCTACTGTACATGTGCTGTCCATTTAAATTATTTTCTCAAACAATTCAGCAGAAAATGTCACAGCTGTAATCTACTGCAATGAAACCCACATCATCACGCAGTGTTTCATAAGGAAAGTTACTCAGTGCCACTTGCCGTTTTCTAAGAAATGCTACTCAACATGACCACAGTCTGTTTTGATCTCATCACAATCCAATGAGCGCCAGTTCACAAGACCAGTGCTGACTTGGACAGAATGCTCCATGAGCTCCACTGTAACCCATGCTCCACATGATCAGTGTCAACCTCATAATTTTAATCGAATACATGCATTATTTACAATATCACTACAGAAACAAATGGGCAAGAAATGTTCACATTAAGTAATGATTATGTAAAGTACAAACACCTTTCCAGGTGACTGTACTTTGGTTATAGTTTTATTGTGTTGCTGTTGTTGCTATGGTGCCATATTACCAGCTTGGAGCCAGCAGTGTAAGCCAACAAATTCCAGTGTGAGAGTGTGAACATAATACAGTGCCGTCCTCTGACATAATGTGATTTAATCTTCCAGGCACAAGGGACTCATCTTGTATCTGACTTTGTCCTTGAAGATAACACTGTTTTAAATGTTATTCTTTAAAATGTGGAATGCAGCCTCTCTGCTAAAGTTCAATGGTGTGTCTGTCTGAGGAACTGGGTTACCTTTAGCTAATTATATGAAGATTTAGAAACAAGATGTTACGTCTTAAGAGGTGCAGATTTTTGTCCCCTTTTTTTTTACCTTTGGACAGAGCCAGGCTAGCTGTTTCACCCAGTCTGCACTCTTTATGCTAAGCTATGCTAACCATCTGCTGGCTGTGGCTTCATACTAGTGTGTACAGACATGAGAGAGTGATCGATTATCTCATTTAACTCTGGGCAAGCGAATAAGCGTATATCCCAAAACTATTCCTTTAAGTTACTGGACAATCCTGTTCATTCTGTTCTTCCCATTAGCTTACCTGCTAGCTGTTCCTTTTATTTTTCAGGGTTTCAGTGATGAATGTATTAATAATGTTTTTTTTTTTTAAATCCCTTTTGAAAGTCTCGTTACTAATTGTTGGGGTCACGGTCTGCTTGAATCTAATGAAAAGGACACATGGCTGCGTGTGTCTTGCAATATGCCCACTTTAATTAATTTCAATCCATCATGGCATCTGTTACTGTGAAGTGCTTTGCTCAAAAGTAAGATCATTTCAAAGCCAATATGAAGTTAAGTTTGAGGAGAATGGATTGAAATGCAACCAAAACAATGTTATACACTGATAACACTGTCAAGAAATGATAGAGCATGTTTCTCACCACTTTCTCACAACATTATTTTGGTGTGACGATATTAATATTTTTGGAACCAAACAGAACTTAAGGCTGCATGTTTTTCCTTGCAAGAACACTGACCTACGGATTTGCCAGTCAGCGAGGACATCTATTCTCTGCTTTGTTTACAATGAAGGTGTCAGGATCTTTGACCCAATTTCAGGTGGCCTGTGTGGCTGACTGTCTTCAAAAGAGTGACAGCTGTGGAATGCTGGAGTTTCTATATGAGGGGTGTGTCTGCAGGACTTAGAAATGAGGCTGATAAGAACAACAGATACCAGCCAAACTGTTTGATGTTTGATTTGGAACGGAGACGCAGTAAAATCTCTTTCATAAACCTTGAGAGTAATATTGAAATGCATCAGTAAACCTCTAGTGGATGTTAGACCTTGGGTGAAGTGTAGATGTGACCGCAGGGCTCATTCTGTACAGTTTTCGCACTGATTGCTAATCGTTCCATCTGTTCTCCTCTGGTATGTCGGCAAGCTGGCGGCTCAAACAACTGTTCTGTGACTACCAAACAGGGAGATACTGCACCACACAGGGCACCACATAGGTCAGCACTGGAAGTGAACATGGGGGGTTGTTTAGGTGTGTTTCCTCCCCTGTTCAGTTTGTGTACAGTTTTTGTAGTTTGCATGACTACCACTGGGGGTCAGCAGAACACAACAGCCCTCTAAAATACTGAACATAGACCTTAATTCAGAGAAAAAACATGTATTTCCGTCTTATGCTTCTTCATACTTCTACTTAACCACATTTTAGAGGGAAATATTTGCTTTATTATTTGACATAGTTGCTTTTTACTTTGCAGATTGAGGTTTCAAAAACCTATAATGAGCATATAAATTATGATGTATTGTATCAAATTGCAGGATATAAAATACTTTAAATTAGTTACACCTCAACCAGATGTAAAATTGAAATATGACTGCTTCTGTAATAATAAATAATAATACAAAACACCACAAACACTGGCATGAGCCATTGTGCTTCCATATGTACTGCTACTTTTATAACACCTAATACAGCATCTGTATTTTTTTCAACAGATTTGAATGTGTCTTAAACCACTGCATTTTAAATTTCACAAAGGTTTTTTCTGATGCTCACATCTAACAACTACAGTTTTATTTCTTCTAACACAATTGCAGTTGTGTTTAATTGTTATTAGTACCAGAAGTACGTAGCAAAAGAGGAATGGTTATAATCTGTTTCTCGTAAACTAAAACTAAATCCATTTTGGGAAAGAGGAAATTTTAATCATAGAGATTTTAGGTGCCCTGTGGATAAATACAGTGTGAGTTCTGCAACTATCATTATCCCTCTGTAAATTCATCCACCTCATGACATCAGCTGTCATGTGAAGATATCATCCAAAACCAGGGGGATCAAGAAACCATTACAGGGATGACAGGTAGCAGTGACTGGAATAGGTAACTGTTATAGCAAAGATTTCTTCTGTCACGGACGTTTATTTTTCTCCCTCAGTGCTGTAGAGGCTCAGAGAGGATCTGACTTGTTCATTTGCGGTGTATGAGCCCAAAACAAAAGGGCAAATGTTTGGTGAAGGAACATTACACAGATAATTCAGGTTTTCTTTTGTCCTACTTTGATACCCACGAATAGAAAATGGATCAGGGAGCAAACTTAATAAGGATGAAGGTCTTGCCCTGCTGACTTCCTGGATAATGAATAGAGATTTTTGGTTTCCTTTTCATTCAGTTATCATCAGCACTGATGATGAATTATTTTGCCCTCATGATCCTGTCCGTCTTATCTGTCTAGTCAAATCAAATATACAGCATGATGAATACTGGATAACAACATCTAGAAACTGAACCTGACATGTTGAGATTTACACTCTGTGTCCCGTCTCGTATAACATTGAACTTGGATGTTCATCTATGATTCTGATTTGGATCCCTGAACTAAACTTGGCCAAATGATGTCTGTAGCACAATTAGAAATGTAAATTTAACTTTCTCTGCCTACAAAGAAACATTGTTGTGGAGACCAACCTACAAAAGTGACTATTGAAAGATTCCTAACAAACTAAGAGTAATGTGATATTTTTTCATGAGTTGGTGAAACAAACCAGTGAGAAAACACCGGTCAGTCTATGAGGACTTACACTTGTGATGGTAACAGAAAGAGAAAAAGGTTTTTTTTTCTGCTAGATGTGTTAAAGTATTTAGCAGCAAGAACTTTATAATCTCATACAGTATAAACTGTGAAGGCTTGACAGTGTGTTTCTGCCTCCTGGTGGTGCAACAATGCATAATGTGCATTAAATCCCTATGCAGAAAAACAATATAAAACATACATATTGAAGAAGAACAAGGTAAATATTACTTGCTAAACATCAGAACATGTTACCATTGTTATTATAAGCATTATAGTGCCCTCCCTTCGTTAGCATGTAGATCATTAAAGATCATTAATTTTAAGGCTTGATTGCTTTAAGCTTAATGGTAGTAATAAAATCTGAATGACTAACAAAGACTAAATACACAGTGGTATGACTAACTCACCTTTTAGTAGTACGAGTAACTCAGTGGCTGTGTTATTGAAGCATGGGCATCAGCTCAGGCAACAGATTGTGTGGAGGTATCCCAGCATGCCAGCAGCCTGTCAGAAAGAAATAAACAGAAGCAAATGAGGCTAGTTAGTATATTTAACCTCAAAACAACTCTCACCAGTCTCTTGTTGAAGAGTATTTCTGATGTGACTATATGTTCATTTCTTCCACTCTTCTTCCTACTGAACTTCTGGAGAGTTTGCTCTTTGTCCTCAGTTGAGGACATGTACAAGGGTGTAATTTTCTTTCATTGTTCAACAACCCTGGGCAAATCCTTCAGGACTTAAAAAGCAAGTACAAAAGCAGATTTGATCTGAATGTCTTGAAGAAGAATTTGTTAAGGTGAATAGTTAATATCCTAGCTCAATGTAACAGCCTTTAGCTTAGTGAGAATGAAAGGAAAAGAAAGAAAAACAAAACTGCATGTTTGCAGGTGCCTGAACCACTTCAGTAAGCTCCCCTTAAGGTTAATGCTCCTTGTGAATATGGATGATGAATAAACCTTTTAAAATAGAAATGTATATTTTATATCCACCTGTGTGCATAATGAATTCCATATTAATAGGCCAAGGATTAGATCCCAGTGAGAAGATGCTAAAATATGTCTGAGGAGCTTTTCGAGGAGCTTTTCGTTTTGATACTTTATCTAATGTAAGTATGAGAGGTCTTAGGCATTATTTCTGATGCAAAAATGGTTAATTACATATCCTACGTATCCATAGCCTACGTAGTCCCGCCTGTGTATATTATTAGACTGTCTCTAATAGATACAATGCTGTCTTCTAATATGATCACAATCTAATTTACCCTCCTCTTTTGACCTCTCCTCCAGCTGATTGTCTCCAGTCATGTCCCCGTTCTTCTTCTACTCTAATACTGTTCAATTCACCCTTCATCCTCACTTTGAATTATTTCCCTTTTTTTAATATTTCCCCTATTATCTTAACCTCCATGCACCCTTTTCATCAGTGCCTCCAGTGGGAAACATTGGTGGTGAATTTACTGACCCCCAGCCAAGGTAACGTGGGATCAATAGGAAATAAATTAAAATTAATGGAGGACTGAATCCACAGAGGGGGTGGGGGTGGTTGGGGGTGGGGGTGGTGAGAGAGGATAGTGTGTGTGTGGGTGTGTGTTTGTGTGTGTGTGTGTGTATGTGTATTGGGGGTGGGGGGTGGGGGGGTTAACATAGGGAAAAAAATACATTTCCCACCGTTTAAATTGTTTATATCCAAGTCAAATCGATATGGTTCTATGATTTTTCTTTTTTCTTCCACGAATTGAAGTTGGCATCTAATCAGAACCAAGGACAGCTCCAGATTGCGCCTGAGCGCTGCGTCAGGACGCTTCTTCTCGGTTGGAGAGCTCAGACGCACAAACTAAACCTCAAAGCAACACCGGCAACCCGAGGAGGAGCTCTGACGCCCGCACAGCTACCTTTCTGTCATTTTCTGTTTATTTCGAGTCTCAGAAAATCCCCCCAGTTTTTCAGTGTTCATTAATGTATTATTTAAGTGACATGGAGGCTGGCGGAAGAACCTAAAATTTCGGTCTGGAGATGACTTTACTGAACATCCTCGGGGAATTAAGTTAAAATGTCTGAAGAATTCGTCGACACTAGTTACGAAGGCTCAGCAGAAATAGTCTATGCTGCCACCTTCAACTTCAGCTGTGTTTTCAACACGACCAACCGATCCTCCGGCGACTACTTCCACCTGTCAGACTTTGACAGAACAGATTTTGTGGGAGACGGCGCTGCTGTTCTGAGAATCATCATCTCTGTCATTTACTCTATGGTTTGCGCGCTGGGTCTGGTTGGGAACTTGCTGGTCCTGTACCTAATGAAGTCGAAACAAGTGTGGAAAAAATCCTCCATCAACCTTTTCGTAACTAGTTTGGCAGTGACTGACTTCCAGTTCGTCCTGACTCTGCCGTTCTGGGCGGTGGAAAACGCGCTGGACTTCACTTGGCTTTTCGGCAAAGCTATGTGTAAGATAGTCTCCTATGTGACGGCTATGAACATGTACGCCAGTGTGTTTTTCCTGACGGCCATGAGCGTGGCGAGGTACTGGTCTCTCGCCTCTGCGCTCAAGGGCAGACGGCGACGGACACACTGCTGCTCCGCGCGGTGCATCACCGTTTTCATCTGGTTTGCCGCTGTCTCCGCCGCACTGCCGCACGCAGTTTTCTCCACAACAGTCACAGTTTCCAATGAGGACCTGTGCCTCGTCAAATTCCCTGAAACCAACGGAACCTCGCAGTTTTGGCTCGGACTCTATCATTCTCAGAAAGTGCTGCTGGGCTTCGTGGTGCCTCTGGGCATCATCTCTGCCTGCTATCTGCTCCTTCTGCGCTTCATCACCTCCAAAAACATCAACACCTCCAGCGCCAAACGACGCGCCAAGGTCACCAAGTCCGTCACCATCGTGGTCTTGTCCTTTTTCCTCTGCTGGCTCCCCAACCAGGCGCTGACAGCCTGGGGCATCCTCATCAAACTCAACGTGGTTCATTTCAGTTATGAGTACTACACCACACAGGTGTACGTTTTCCCCGTGTCCGTGTGCCTGGCGCACTCCAACAGCTGCCTGAACCCCATCCTGTATTGCCTGATGAGGCGGGAGTTCAGAAAAGCGCTGAAAAAACTCTTCTGGCGGATGACTTCTCCGACCATCACCACCATCAGGCCGATCACAGCCACCACAAAGCCAGAGATTTACGGGCAAGGGCAAGTCCCGGTCCCCATCAGCGCGCCCGAGGAGCCCGCTGTGGTGTTTTATCCTCCGGGGGCAGTCATGTACAGTGACAGGCGAGACCTGCCGCAGAACAGCACTTAAAGTGCCACGGACAGTTTTTTAAATCCTCTGTGAGTGTTATTTCTATGCATTTATGTTAACTGGACTATTTCTTACCTCGCAGTTGTCAGCGGAACTGTGGTCTGAGTCCAAGTTGGATCTGCGTTGTTGAGAAAGTAAGAAACGCTCAAATAGAAATTGCCATTGGCCGCTTCACATATTTCACCTGTGAATAAGAAAAGAAGAAGACATCATTTGAATGTGCTTCGTCTGTCGAAGAAAATTTGAATGTACAGTGTCCTTCTCTTGGTTCAGGTTGAGAATGTGTACACTCAGGTGGACAGTCCAGTCATCCAGTTATTCAGTTTTTAAGCCGCAGAAATCCATGGCCTCATGGTACAGTAGATAAAAATGAGTCAAATGAGTTTCACACAGGGAGGTATACCAATTTTAAATGTGGAACTGTGAGGAAAGAAGTTGAATTAATGCCTAAAATATGTGTCATAAACCCATATGGTGTGAAAAGTACTGCATTAATACTCTCAACAAAGGTGATTTATACTAGTTCTATTACTCCTGATGCTACAGTATAGCTATATAGTGATGTAGTAAAGTAGCATTTTCTTACATCAGATTTGCAGCCTATAATCCCCAAAATGTTCTCTTGGCTTCAAGTTCACAAAGAGGATTTTTTTCTCCCTCTTTATTATTATTATACAAGGTATACAAGATAAAGAAAGAAATACATAACGTGTCAGGTCCAATAAATAATAAGGTTTCTGTGTCATGCAATGAGGACATGTTTAACCTTTTAAACATTTACATCTATGAATTAAGTGTTTACTTGACGAAATCCAGTTGTTTATGAGAAATCTTTAATGAGCTTTAACTGACATCACATGTAGGGGGTGCAGCAGTATGTCTCTAGAAGCCAGCTCTGAAATGAAAGACGGAAATCTCCCGTACAGATTCACACTGGAGGAAGATATGTGCTACAGTCTCAATATTATAAGTTAACAAGATTCACTATGTTCAGATGGTTATTCTTGTCTCAGGGAATTTGTGTGGAATGTGGATATGGAGTTGATAGCTCTGAGTATTGTGTCGTGAATATTGTAAATAATCTGATCTGTGGCCCATATTGCTGTTATTGATCGGCTCAATCAGGGATCCACAAGACTCTGTGAAATCTATATGTGGGCCTTCTTGGTCACATGCTGAACATCAACCGATGAGTCATGAAGTTGAAATGTCATATCTGTGTTCAATAAATGCTTTTTTTGGGAGCATTTATTCAGTGAGCATCTTTTTTTTTTTTGCTCCTGAGACTGTTTCTGTCTCTGGAAGCGTCTGAAAACATGTTGGGATGTGTACACACTGTCATATGAACATCAGACACATTTAAAAAAAAAAAAAAGAAAAAAGAAAAGGATAATTTATCCACAACTCCCCTCAAATTCATTAAGTGAATATATTCATAAATTACTTTCTCCTCTTAATGAAACTTTCATGAAGAAACTCATTAAAACACACTTCATCTCTGAGTCCTTTAACTCTAGTGATATTTGCTATTAAAGCACAAAAAAGTGCAAGTGCATACTTTTAAATGTCAAATTGAGTACAACTTAAGATAAACAGTTAGTGGATAAATTTAATTAGTCATATTGCAACCAAGCAAAAAAGGAATTTAAATATCCCTCCATTACCACTGATGAATCTAACCATTAATAATTCATCTAAAAATACATATGAACCCTTAATTGTTGCTGGTTTAATGGTAAAATTGGGAGCATTTAAGGAATAAAATGTTTTTGATTTTGGGAAGCAAGCAGCACCATTAACCACTTAATCTACAGTAACTGCTGCGATGTGCAGGGAGTCAGACGGGTAAATCTCCTGGGTATTCCTCTCACTTCATTTATTCAGGACCATGTGCAGGAATATCATCAGTGACTTCCAATAAAAATCACCAACCTAAACACTAAATACGTCCAAATATCACCCTTTAAAAACAACTCAACAGCAGTCAAATGCGACAGATGGCTGCCCACTGCAGCCAGTTATGTTTCGATATTAATGAAATATTTGTGGCTGAAGGTAAATCATTTTTCTTAAGGGAACTCTGCACTAAGATACAAATAGAAAGTGTGTGTGTGTGTGTGTGTGTGTGTGTGTGTGTGTGTGTGTGTGTGTGTGTGTGTGTGTGTGTGTGTGAGAGAGAGTGAGTGTTAGACAAAACAATGACTGTTGGCAACAGAAGCAATACATGCATATCTGACAGATGAGACAAGCATGAGTCTGGTAAACCCACTGTAACAATAAACAACTTGAGATAAACACTGTTTATTTTTCTTTTAAATTAAATAGCTGAGAGCAAAGGGACTAATTTTACGCACATAGCGACAGGCTAATGTAATTATGAAATAAATAGCCAGTGGCCCAAAGGACCTGGGAATTGTTCCACCAGAGCTATCTGTCATGTGAATGTTGCATCAGACACACGCATGAATCAATTCAACGCACACAAAGAGCATTTCATCTGGTTGTGGAAGAGAAATGACATCAATCACAATCATGGAAATAGATTGTTCATTCAAATGTATTCCTCAAGAGATAATCTGGAGCGAGCTGGAGAAGACCCTTTGATGCGTTCTGAATGTCTAGGAAACAGATTTTCAAAGATATTTTGATATTTTATGGATGTTTTTGTTGTGTACCTCGATTATTTAAAAAAAAAAGAAGGGATTTTTACATGAAAACACGTTTGAAAGTTCGCAGTGATAAACATCTGAAACCTGTGAAATGTTGGTAGAAATATTTATAGTGGTTTTTCAGACGCAGCAGCTGTCTTCTGTAGACGTCAGTACATTAGAAGAGAATAACAGACAAGAGAGAAACTAAGCTTTTGAAAAGTGAGCGAGCCACTGATCTCTCTCCTTACCAAACTCTGGAGGCAGGAGGAGTCACATAATCAGGGCCAGAGAAGGAAAACTAATTTTCCTCACCATGGGCCGGTAAAAAATCTTACATGGCTGCCAAAGGATGGTGGCACCCATGGGTTACCACACATTAGTCACTTTTCTTTTTCTTTTGCAAATCACTTCCCGCCAGTAGCTAAATTAGACAGGCTGTTTTACTGCGCAGAAGTTAGACTTTGAGTATTTTTGACAAGTTTAAAGATCTCCTGCAGACATTTCTTAAGATGGGGAAAAAAACCTCTGCTCAGAATAATCATTTCTTTCTGATGTAGTTTTTTCCACAAAAAAAGTTTAGCTAACTTTTTAAAAAAAAATGTCTGTTCCCCTCCCCCATTGTAAAATATGTAGAATCTATGGACATGCAATTATTTTTCATTTCAAAAGTTTGAATGCTGAACACAAAATATCTTGTGTAAGCTCCACATTGGACCAGGATTGGCTCCAAACTAGTTGTAATGACACAGAATCATCTTGATATGTAGATGATGGTGGAGATGGCAAGGAAAGGAAAACGGCCTTCCAGTGTCGTAGTGAGTAAGGCCCAATCCCAATGTCCCCCCGAAGCCTACAAGTCCTGAACCCTCACAGACTTCACTGACGTCACCTGGGAAGTGATTGAGTGCGATAAGCTGCAAGGGCTCAGAATGATATAAAGAGGAAAGGGACGAGGACTTTGTGACATATTATGTTTCTTTGAAGACGCCAAAACTTTTTATTTCACATTTTTTTATTTCCTTCCTTCACTCCGTTTGTAAACAAAATAGTAATGTTGGATCTGTGTTTGTGCTCGCATGTAGGCTTACACTTTTTTTTTTCTTGTAACATTAATGTTAGGGTTCGTTCCTTTCATGCTCGCTCGTTATCAGTTGTTTTTCCTTCGTATTCTGTTTTCCATTTTCTGGCAGTTGTTTACTGTTTTTATTTTCATTTTTTTATGCTTACAGGCATCTCCTGGTAACCACGGAAACCCATGTTTAATGTCACAACGCAATGAATTTCCTCAGGCAAAATCTGCAGAAATGCAGTGCGCATAAAGGGCCCAATAGGGTGCAATATTATCTGCTGCAAAACCCTTAACTGTCAATCAAATCAGCCATTGAAGTAGAATTAAAGGAATCGTGGGAATCAGACATTTTAAGCATATAATAAAGAATCTTTATTTATTAAAACAATACCATTAAAATACTTTTATAATAGCAGAATCATTCCACATATCTGATAAAGAGGGCGATGAAGATGCAGCCGAACAGAGACATGGTCGAGGCTGAGAGGACCACCACAATTACACTTCCTGCCACGTTGACCAGAGCGCCGAGCCCCGCACCCACGATAATCTGAGCCAGCTGGACCATGCAGGTGAGCGCCGCGCAGTCCACCCCGGTGCCTCGTGGAGTTTCATTGCTTCCTCGCAGCTTGATTTGTTCCTGGAGTCGCAGCAGGGTGGTGTGGGGGAGGAGGAGGAAGAAGAAAACAAAGGAGAAACATATCTGATGTCATCAATTCTCTCTACTACCTGAGATGTCCATGACAAAAAGCAATCATCACTATAGTAAACAGGTTCAGCTCTGGAAAATATTAAGGGGCAACCTCATACATATATTTTTTCAGTGTCTCCTCAGGCACCTCAGCCTTGTATCAAGGTATTGACCAAAGATGCCAGGACACATCACAACTGCGAGTGAAGGAGAGTGTTTTTCTGCCAGCAATTGATTTTTGTACCACCACCCAACTAAAGATATTGTGTTCTATTATTTCTTTATATAGAGTATAAAACAGCTTCGATTATTCAGTCTGCAGCAATATTACACGCAGCTGTCAGCTGTCAAATATAATGTTCTCAATGGGAGTAATTGTGCTCATTATTGCAAATTAATGTTGTCTTTTGTTGTTTGTCAAAAGTTACCTTTTATCCAGAGGCAACGAACAGAAATTGAAAATATATTTTTTCCTAATCTCTACACTTCACTAACACATTTCTTTCAATTCCAGGGAAGTTGGCAGGTGCTTTTGAATATAATCTTAACAGGTGGGAGTCCCCTAGAAATCTCTGCAGCCAAAAAATGT